GGACTTGTGCCACATTTGGGCCAGATATGAAGATAATATTTAGACCCGCACCAATTCAGGGCCAGATGTAATGCTGTTCTTTGCTCATCTTGACCGGTTTTTAATCAGTTTTGCCGCAGATCCGTAAAACAGATCAGTTCCGGTATTGGGCCATTGTGCAAAAAGACAGCGCTACATTTGGCCCTAATCAGGCGCAGTATACATTTGTTGTCTGGGTAGTCTTGTGTTATATTTTGTTCTAGTCTAGGCTAACCAAGTCTAGTCTGTTCTGTTTTTTTTCTAGTCTTATTTAGTCAAATCTTGTCTAGTCTGTTCTGTTTATGTTCTATTCTAGACTAGTTCAGTGTAATCTAGTTTAATCTGTTCTGTTCTATAATATTCTAGACTACTCTTGTCTAATCTAGTTTACTCTGTTCCGTTCTGTTACATTCTACTCTAGGCTAGCACTCTTAACAAAGATGTTTCTTTAGAACAGGGAATGGTTCTGTGTAGAAACATGAGTTCTGTATAGAAACATGTAATGCTTAATTGGTTCTTTGCATCGTGAAATTGTTCGTCAGATTGGTGGAGAATGTGTTGTACATGGTTCTATATAGCACCAAAAAGGGTTCTTCTTTTGTTACAAGCTTGACATCGTAAACAATAGCAGAACCCTTTTTGGTGCTATATAGAACCATTTTTAAAAAGGTTCTATATAGAACCATGTACAACACATTCTCCATCAGTCTGAACAACCATTTCACCATGCAAAGAACCATTTAAGCATATAAAATTTCATGATTCTAAACAGAACCATTCCCTTTACTAAAGAACCCTTGAAGAACCATCTTTTTAAAGAGTGTAGTTTAGTTTAACCCAGTCTAGTCTGCTGTGTTCTTTTATAATCTATTCTAGTCTAGGTTAATCTAGTCTGTTGTATTTTATTCTATTTTATTCTAATCTAGTTTTGCCTGTTTTGTTCTGTTAAATTGTGTTCTAGACAGGTTTTGTCTAATCTAGTCTAGTCTGTTGTATTTTATTCTATTCTAGTTTAGTTGAATCTAGCCTAGTATAACATTCTAGTGTAGTTGAATTAATCTAGTATAATCTGTTCTGTTTCAGTGTAGTTCAGGCTAATCTAGTCCGGTCTGTTCTATTTATTATATTTTACTTATTTCTTTTTTAGTGAGTGTCAAACTATTGGCCTTCACCCACATCCATATCATGTTTAGGTAGATTACAGTTGGTAACGTTTGTCTCTCTGAGCCACACCTGTCCATTTCCTCACACTTCACACATCCTGCAGCAGTTTGTGTCCCACTAACCAAAACTCAACATGTTTACATCTTACATTAGAAGTGATTTCTGAAACTCTTCCATGCAAACGTGTAACATGTTAAAATATATTTTATTATGTTCTCCTTACATCTAGGAACATATTCACAGCATACTGCAATATATGCCATTTCCATCTGAGGTCCTAGTGCATGTCATGTTATCTATTTTTTTTCTTTTTTTATTATTTTTACTTTTTGTTCAAAATAATCCAAACATGCTCTTTTCTTCTATCTGTAACCTTGGTCAAAGGATGTTGTTCAAAGTTATCTCTACAGCTTTCACTGGTCACTTTGCCAAGTTTTATTCCTGTGTGTTTACGCTGAGTGAGTGTGTGCAGAGCCACACTATGTGTTGAGAGGACGCAGTTTTAAAGGCTTATTGGCAATAATATAAAATCTCAATCACTGAATGAAGTTCAGCTCCATTGTTTTTTGTTGTGTCTGCATTTTCTTAGTGATGACGTGGCTTCCCATAAGTTTCCTGTCCAACCTCAGTGACGGCGAGAAATACGACTAGAGGGAGTGTGTTTAGAGCTGAGGTCTGGAATATTCCACAGCGCCGTGCTTGGATACATGACCTCAATGTTTATGGGTACAGTGAGTGTGTGCACTGCACGAGAGCAGAAGTGACTCATTGTTCAACGTTTGGAATCAAGGTTTTGCCTAACATAAAACCAGTTTGGTTGCAAGAAAATGTATAAAAATAATTCTAACATATTAGAAGTTCTTGAAAAAAGAGATTGAATTTTTTCATTGTGTCCAGAAAAAAACAAAGCAATAAATGTTCTGAATGACTAACAACAGCTGTAATTAATATTCAGAATGCCTCATATCTAAAAAAAATTCCTAAGGCAGTTGATGTAGTATTCTAGGTGGTTTCTATGGTATTCCAGCAGTTGCCAGGAATTGTTGTAGGAAGACAATTGTGTAGAATAATGATAATAAGATTCCAAAGAGCTGTATGTTGGCTTTGTCATTTGTCAATTCTTAAAGAACAAATGTTCACAGAGTTGCCCCAAGATTACTTTTAAACACTGTATCCTTTTGCTCCCAAACGATGTGAAATATTGAATAAAACATGTAAAATACCTTTTGACATCTAGTTTATAGCAAAACATAAATCTGCATTGTTTAAGTAACTATCATATATAAAATAACAAAAATTAGAAGTGAAACTTTTAAAAACCAGTATCTTCTGTTTTCATTCACAAACAGAGACAAAGTATGTGAGAAGAACAAGCTGTTCTACTTATCAGCAGTCACGTACACCCATAAACACACATACACCGCTGTGTGAGTGCAGACTCATACTGTATGAGTACAGACTCATATGCTTTGGAATCCAGCCATTTCTCCTTTTTCTCCCACAGCTCAGTCCTAAAACATCTAACAACATTCTTCCAACCACAGAAAAGGACCTAACGCACTCCTGTCTGAAACCATAACAACGCAGTGCAAATTCTTCATGCAGTTTCTTTCTCTTATACACTAAAACATTCTGCACATGTGCTTTCCCTTTCTGTCTCTCATTGTTTCCTCATGAACTGGTTTTTGGCTTGAATTGTAACTGATGTCATGTGAGGCAGGAGTGTTTGGTACAATAAATATTTGGATTATTAGCTGAGCTAGTAATAATCCTCAGCTAGCAAATATCCTTTTAGCTGTAAAACATCTGGGTTTATAGAGCTGCACTGCTTTTGAAGCAACCCTGTTGAAAATTAACTTTATCTGACCATTTGCAGACTTTGGACTCCTATGATTTCAGATCTGAAAGACGTGTAATCAGCTTGATCTACTATTTACATAAATCAAAAAGTCAACACCTTGTTTTTTTGAGCAAAATTAAAACCATCTGCTTTCACTTCTTTTCTCTTGAGATACTTTCTCAGGCGTGTTAGATACAGAGAGGCTGTGCAGACAAAGTTCAAACTACTTCCATTTGTTCATAAGTAGAACACAAATATCATTCAGGTTGATATGGAAACTGAAAGTGGCTTACTTCAAGCACAAATATGACCTTGGATGTTTAATCATGTAAACAAACCTTGTTATTGAAAACAAACACTGCAGTTCAATAATTTTGCAAAAATACAAAGAAATTGTGCCTAAGGTCTGTTTTTTTATTCAAAACACTGTTGCATTTGCATAGTTTACACAAATACAGTGCAAGAGTACTGGCCTGCCCATTATTGGTAACTAATTTTATGTCCCTAAATGTGCAACTGAGCACAATAAAAGACAAGATTATTTTATGCACAGATCATCCTCAGTTGTGTGGCATGTACAACATTCTTTTTTTTTGTGTTTTCTTATTATTATATTAGTTCAAAGTCAAAGCCAGTTTTATTGTCATGCACTCTCAAAACAGATGTGTTGAGTTAGGGACAAAATATAATGCTACATTAAACTCAGAAAAGCAGCAGACAGTAAAAAGAGATATAAATACAATACAGACAATAAGCTACACAGAACAATATGCAATGAACTCTACTGTGGAATATTTAATACAGTAAACAACCATTAAGCACAGGACAGTAGAGACTAGACAGTATACAATAAATGTCCATATATTTTTATCAGTGCACATTAATCGTTTTGAAACGACATACGGCCATAGACAACCATAGCCATAAAAAAAAACTACAGACTTTGTATACAGATTAAAGTGTCTGTTGTTCATATAAAGTAACTGGGTGTGGTAAGTATAGTGCAAATACATCTAATCAAATCCCTTCCGAACTGCTTGTAATTGACCCTGTTCATGACTTGCGTTCTCTGTTATGTGAGTACAAATGTGCACTAGTTGTATTTTGGAATATGTGAAATTTTTGCAGTATGCAATGTTGCACTGTGGCAAATAAGAAATAGTACCCCCTATATTTGTATATCATGACAAAGTTGAGTTACAGTAGTTTGGCGAACAATTAAACTCACACAATACGGTCAATATGCCAAGACAGGTTTTGAGTCCAAAACTTTTCCTTAATTTTATAATGGAGTTACAAGTCTAATGTAGCCAAAATAACAGTTTACACCCATCAGTTAGCGTCATGTTAACTCCATGCCTAAATCATCACAGTGTTATCAAGACTGTAATAGAAACTGACAAATATTTAAGGCAAATATATGAGGATTTAGGCATTTAGGCAGTTTGCACAATGGCCCCAACCATAAAAGGACAGAGCCTTAGAACTGTTACAATATCAGGTTCAGCTCAGCTTTTTCAAGTTTTCCAGATTTGCTTAATTGTATTCTGTATCCCTGCTAGAAAAAAAACAGCATAGACTAGCATATGAGGCTGGTATGCTGGTCAACCAGCATGACCACGCTGGGGTGACCAGCTAAACCAGAACAAGACCAGCACTAGACCAGCATAAATCAGTATGCTGAAGCATGAAATGCTTGCTGGTCTGAACTGTTTTTATTTTATTTTTTATTTTATGTTTTTTAGCAGAGGTGTTTCTGGTTCAGTTTGTTTAGTTGTTCTGCCGACCAAAAAGCTGGCATTAGGGGCAACGACAGGTTAGAAATTTGATGTAGCTCTACTGCCATGCACTTCTCCATAGTCTGACCAAGCTGGCTTCAGGTCAAATATTATCTTACATAAATGATCTACTGCATCTTTTTTCTGATTCTTTTGTGCTAAAGTTGAAAATTAGCAGCGGTTACCTGCAGCGCGAGCTCCAGTGCAAAACTAAAGAAGGTAACCAAACATGATCTACGTCGACTAGAATGTAGGGGGAATAAGAATAAGGGGTGTTAATTATATTTTTTGCTAAATTATCGCTTGAATTATGGGATTTAAATAACAGTTTTAATTAAATCACCATTTATCCAAAAAATGCTGGCCTCGTGGTGTACTTCGTTCTTTATTTTTCCACATTCAGTACTAATTCACACTGACTGACATGAATTTTCAGTGCTGGGGTTCCGTTTCAGAGATGCCGTCGCGGTGAATGTCCCTTCGAGGCTTCTGTAGCTACAAGGCCTAAGCTAGCTAACGAACCGCAGACGAAAACAAACCTCAAAAAGGTAAGTTAGGGCTGTTCAGATGAATAAAACGGGAGGTTTTCAATTACGCGAAAATCGCCGCCACTGAATAAATATTTAGGCACCCCACTATAAGCCCTAATGACAAATTTTTAGAGGAGTAGCTCAGCGCTTTCCTCGTTGAAGCTAAAGCTAATGCTAGCCAGGCTACAGACTACAGTGTTGTGACCAGAGTCAGTGCAGCAGCGAGCGGATGGAGCCGAATAACACAGTTAGCTCATTTACTGCAGTATACTGCATGTGTAACTTACACCCGAAAAGTTTGTTCAAAATCTGTGCACATCTGCATGAAAAGTGTTACAAAAATCTGAAAATTCGTTTGCCGTGCAGCCTGTAGATGGCTGGCTGTAATAGTTGTTCTCTGCCTTCAGGTCGAAATTAAATATTTGCAATGCATTTAGTGCATTCAGGCTGTTTCTGAGTTGTATGCAAAGCAGCGGAAATATTATAAATATAGACTTAATTGTAAATTGCTTACCATTTATGGGGCATGTAAAAGTCTCAAGATCAATTGGTTTACTTTATTGCAGGGATGGGCGATATGGCAAAAATACATATGCCACATTTATAAAATACTGTCAGAAAGTGCAATATTTATTTTTAATATTTTTATTCACTATTTCACATACTGCACCACACAGGCCTAATTCAGTTTTCTGTGCAATAAAATATGCAGTTGTTCAAGTGCTGGTAGTTTCCATGATATATTCAGAAAAGTTTATAGTGACGTAATTAAGCAATGGAACATCAGAGGTCAGTGTGTTGTCAGAGTCAATATCACGGCTGTGATTCAGTCACAGATCATCACAACTGTGATGTTATTCGAGAACACACATTCCTGAGTGTTGTATTGCAATTACATAATAATTCTGTAAAATAAAGGACAAAAAAAAAAGCAAAGCAAATGAGCAACATTGTATTAAATGTGTTTTAATATTGGCAGTTCATTCTACCAATAAAGGGTAGAGCCATAAAATTGTTGGAATATCAGGTTCAGCTCAGCTTTATCAATATTAGCTAGATCTGCAGAATTGCTTGTTTCTGGTTAATTCCAGTTTGTTTTGTTGTTCTGCTGACGGAAAAGGTTGCTTTAGGGGCAACGACAGGTTAGAAATTTGATGTAGTTCTACTGTCATAGTCTTCTCTATAATCTGACCAAATGGGCTGCATATGGTATAGAAATTATGTAATCTATCCATTTTATGTTTATTGACATGCTAAAGTAGAAAATTAGTAACAGCTGCACTGTAAAGAGAGTCGCTGCTAAGCTGTTGAGCTTTACACCAGCTAACCATTACTAATTTTCTCTCTAATAACATGCAAATACCAGCACGTTTCTGAATCAACCAGACTGTGTTGTTGAAACTAACTGTTGTATAATGTTATGCAATTTAAGGCGATAATGATGCATCATTATATTGCTCACTGACTGTAAGGAGAGATTTTTCTGACTTTTCTGTTCCAGACTCAATGGCTTTGGTGTCTGCGGATACCAAAATTGCTGAGCTTCTGACTGAGCTCCATCAGCTAATAAAGCAAACTCAGGTGACACTTTTTTTGTTTTTAAACCTCGCTCCAGCTGTCAGATTTTGAGGTATTTTCTGTGAAATTGGTTGTCCAGTGGTGCATTGGCTCATTATATCTCTCTCTGTTTTCTTCCTCTGATGGAAAGGAGGAACGTTCACGCAGTGAACACAACTTGCTCAACATCCAGAAGACACATGAAAGGATGCAGACAGAAAACAAGAGTCAGTCTACAAGTTCTAGTAGTATCTCTCATTTTTATTTTAACTAAGCCCATCAGCCATTTGCTAATCTACACTAAATCAAAATATGCAGAAGTTCTGAGCCTCCTCTTCTCTCCACAGCCTCTCCATACTATCGGACCAAGCTCCGGGGACTCTACACCACAGCAAAAGCAGATGCAGAAGCAGAGTGCAGGTAACTAGCTAAGTTAGGCATTGTCTGTGATTTGTCATGCATTTAGAGGTGTATTTTAGTTGAGATTTATTCTAGGTATACACACACACTAAAGGATAAAAGCTACATATAGAAGATTGTTATGAGTCATAGAAGACATGAAGACACACTGATATGGAAATTCTGGGCCAACAATGATCATTTTATGTCCATGCTTGATTAGCTCTATCAAGGATTTATAGGGTTGACAATGCTAGCATACATCTATTAATCCAGCACATATCAATTAAATACTAAAATCAATGCAGATATTAATATTTTTGACAGTGATGTCCTGATAGTAATATAGTTAAAATATGATCATGCATCATTACATAAACTTTTGTTTGAGAATATTTAGAATTGTAGTTAGAATCTCTGTACTAATCAAGTAAGCTTGCATAGCTGAGGAATTTGTCTTCAGAATATTGTCCTAAGAATATTCACTGTGCTAACTTTCCTTCCTTTTCTTTTTTGAACAGTAAAGGCAATGGTAATAATAGAGCTCCATCTTGTGGTATTAAGTGGAGAACAGTTGGAGCTCATATGCTCTTCTCTTTAACCCCTATGTTGTTCTCAAAGGAACCTCCTTTAAGAGAATAAAAGTAGCGTTTATTATGTTATTTGCCTAAAAGTAGCGTTTATTATGTTATTTGTCATGTTAGGTAATATTCTGTAGAGTAACATTGCATCCCTCAGCCTCATAAGTTTGACAGAATTTATGATTTTATTTCCTTTCTTATGTTTTCATCCATCACTGTTCTCTCACTACAATACCCAGCATGCATTACACAAATACATCATAAAGCCATGGGGAATCGCCCCAATGTTAATAAAGGAATCAACTGATGTTCCACTTATGTTTAGGCTAATAAATAAAGATGTGATATCACCTTCATGGATGTAACATTACATGTCTGGCTTCCTTTTAAACGTTTTAAACAGCCCATCCCCAAAAATCCACCCCAAACAATTGTAGTTTTTCAAAAGTTCCTCCCACCTTCAAGATGCATCATCAGAAGGGTGTTTTCTTAGTCTTTTAACCAGAAAATCTTACTCTTGGAACTCCCATGGCACCACTGTAGAAGATGTAGAGGCATGTTTACAGTATATGTAGCAAGGGTTAATTTTTCATTTTTGCTGGAGTGTCCCTTTAATATCCATTTTGTTCCATTTCGTTCCATTTTGTTCCATATGCGGCAGCAGATTAGACTGTCTGTGTTTGTCCTACAGCATTCTGCGCCATGCTCTTGACAAGATTGCAGAAATTAAATCACTACTGGAGGAGAGACGTATTGGTGAGTCATTAAAAGTGTCTGTGAGTTTGAGAGAGATTGAATCTGTGCTAATGGCTGACTCACATGACCTCAACCTCTCTCAGCTGCGAGGATGGCTGGAGTGCACAATAACAGTGACCCACCCAGGAAGACCATGCGGAGAGGCGTTCTGATGACTCTGCTTCAGCAATCTGCTATGACACTTCCTCTATGGATTGGCAAGCCGGGCGAAAGGTAACGGCTCACTCTTTGAACTCTCCATTGCCTGCGTTTACCTGTCAGCCTCATTCATCTGCTGTCTCTCAGCTGGCTCTTTGAATCAAACATGGTCACACACTGAGCGATGATTTGTCCATGCTGTTCCTCATCATGATACAAGATCTCTTTTCAGATGAAAGTGAAGTGTAATCCTGTCCCTGTTGTTTCCCTACTGCAGTCCGCCTCCTCTGTGTGGGGCCATCCCTGCAAGCAGTGATTACGTGGCAAAGCAGGGGGATAAGGTGGCAGCTCGAGTGAAGGCTGTGGATGGAGATGAACAGTGGATCCTGGCTGAGGTTGTCAGCTACAGCCACTCCACCAACAAGTAACTATCTGCCAACTATCTGCAGTTTATAGCATGAGTGTAAATCTCTAACCTCACAACAATTTGATTTGATTATGATTCTTTAGGAGACTACTCAGTGCATTGTGAAATGTCAAATTTCATCTCTCAAAATAATTTGATTAACCTGAACTTCTGACTTTTTTTAATATTATTAGAATTGATTGTAATCATTTCTAACATTTTAAAATCATTGCAGTGGAACCTTAAATTAAAATGAACCATAAGCAGTATGAGGTGCTGTGAGCATAACCATTGGCAAGTCACTAAGAAACTGACAGCAAAAACAGTTAAAGTAATTGTTTGGTGAAAAATCAAATGTACACGATTTTCTTCACATACCAGATGTAGTTGATCAGCCAAGACACGTTTGTTGTCCAAATTTTGCCTTTTTAATTTAGCACTGGAGCTATAAGGCTAATGTTGTTAACACTAGAAGTCATTGTCACCCAAATCTTTTCCATTAATACATCCCCAAAACTTCTTTTTACTTGCTGAAACTCCATCCAGGCCTTCATTAAGATTGTACAGGTTTGTTGATGTGGTTTAGGCACACAGTATAACTTGCTGTGAATTATAAAAATGAACAAAATTTCATTGTTCAGCAAGGCAGTGGGCAGCTTTTTTAGACATGTTTTCTATTTATAAACCTTCAGTATGAAATTTCTTGATTAATATTTATGTATAAATACGCACGCACATTTTCTAAGCCACTTATCCTTCTGGGTTGCAGGGGTTATAATAGAGACAGAAATTTTTAATGTATTGGAGAGTTTGTATGCCTGCGTAATATGCATGTGATTTGATTGGGTTGAGAGAAGTTCTGGAGATGTATTTACAGAAAAGATTTGGGTGACTATTGACTTCTGGTGTTTGTTAGCAATGTTGGCCTCGTAGCTTTAGCACTAAACTAAATAAGCAAATTTGGACACTAAACATGTCTTGACTGATCAGCTACTTCTGGAGTAAGTGGAAAATTACGTAAATTAATTTTTCACTGAACCATTCCCTTAAGGACTGTCACTGTCTGCCAACTATGCAGCTGACAACAAACTAACTGCCAGTCAGAATTTCTTTTGAACCGCTTTCATGTTTGGGTTTTTGTCATTTGTTCTTAGGTATGAAGTGGATGACATTGATGAGGAAGGAAAAGAGTATGTATATCTTATATCTTTATGTGTAAAATAAGTTGCCGTGGCATGCTTTTCTCTCTCCTCTCCCTCTTCTTTCATTTGTTGCTCTGTTAAATTGCTGTCTGCCCTTGCTCTTCTTGGTTTCTTCCCATCTCCTCCTAACCTCTTGTCCTGCTCTTCTGTCTCTGGTTTTGCTCCAGGAGGCACATGCTAAGTCGAAGAAGAATCATCCCTCTGCCACAGTGGAAGGCCAACCCAGAGACGGACCCCGAGGCCCTGTTCAGCAAAGACCAGCTGGTGCTGGCCCTCTACCCACAAACCACCTGCTTCTACAGAGCACTCATTCATACCCCCCCACACCGGGTGAGAACATGAGGGAGCAGTAGAAACATGGAGGGATGATGTTCTTTGCAACATTGATGCTAACAGGAAGCCAAACTTCTGTTCCTTTTTACCTGTTCACAGCAGAAAAGCTTTCAAAAATAGTGTGTATGTTTTTATAACAACATGAACATCATCTGCTTTACTAGTTAAAGGAATACTTTAGTGCTCTTCAGGCTAAGCTCAGTCTGCTGCATCTATAGCATACGATCAATTCAGTATCTGCCCATTGCCTGTTATTATAAGTGTGTCTTAAGTCAACAAGTTTTCTGTTCTTTCACTAAGTATATGGAAATGGGTTGAAAGTATAGTCTATGGTAACTGATAGTATAATACTGATGCAGTAGTGACTAGGTTGAAGAATGCTGGAGTATTTCTTCACATGACACAGCAATTTTTTAGCTTTACATTCAATACTGTGCAAAAGTCAAAGACCACCTTTCATTTTTTTAATTTCCAGTCAAAAAAATATTAAGTACATGCTATTCATTTGTCAGCATCAGGGGAAAAAAGCACAAAACATATATTTTACAGAAAATTACACAGGAGTCTGAACAACTAAATTTAATCACATTTTTAGGATTTAGTTGGTCTGCCCTGTGCGTTGATTACAGTTTTTACAGCATTGCTCTAAGTTTTTCAAAGAAATCTGCAAGGATAATTTTTCACACCTCCAAAGTTCAATCTTAGAAGTTGGTTGCATTTTCTGCTTCTCAAAATCCAAGTAATTCCAATTACACGTCCTTTCAGACCTGTAGAGTTCTCACCTTGGAAGGATGGAAAGCAAGAGCTGTGGATTTTTTCAAATCTAAAGCAAAAGTGAAGCTTGATTTTCTCCTCTCTCTCAAAATGAAAGCTTTATGTACTGTTTGTCTAATCCTTAAATGATTTAAGTCCAGTTTTAAAAACTTATATCTCCTTAGAAATATCTCCTGAAAAATTAATAACTTGTATTTCATAGTTGTTTTGACTGGAAGATAAATAAATGATAAGTGGTTTCTGAGTTTTGCTCAGTACTGTACAAAACAAAAATTCCCAGCTAGAATGATTACCATGTAGAAATGAAGTGGCTCAGTGTTTATCAAAATGTAATAGTTTGAATTCCCTCATAACATAAGAATATAAAAAACACATAATGAGGAAAAAGTCTTGTACCTGCAAGAACCGCTAAGCAACATCTTTCTATGGAAAATAAATAGGCTCTGAACCAGTGAACAGAAAAGTTCTAGCTAGGAGTTAGGCCGCAGCAGAAATTCTTTCATTGTCCCTTAGCGATTTAAATACTACTTTGAATTACTTTCGGAAAGATCTAGACAGATGATCTCAGAATTAATGGATCATATGTTTCGTATTTTAACAAGCATCACTTTAATTGCAGCCCCAGGACGACTATTCAGTGCTGTTTGAAGACACTTCATATGCAGACGGCTACTCACCGCCTCTCAATGTAGCCCAGAGGTACGTGGTGGCCTGTAAGGAGAACAAGAAGAAGTGAAGAACACTTTGACTATTCTGCGGGTCCTGATCACCTCTGTTACAAAACTAGATCTTGGATCAGGGCTCTTTAAATGCTTTTCTCGTTCCAGATCAACTGAAAAGTAGACTATGGCAGAGATTGTGCCTTTAGCTGTAATGGGCACATCCTCACTTTTCACTTTGTATTTGCAAAGGACGCTTGGATAACACTGGATGACATTATCACTGTTGTCCAACAGTTGTTTTGTGAGTGGTGAATTAACCCGAAACTGTGCTACATCAGGTCTGCGTTCAGCGTTCGAGGCTATGTGACCTTGGTGTCGTTTCGTGTGTGTGTGTGTGTGTGTGTGTGTGTTTTAATTTTTTTCATATGACATTCTTGTCCATGTGGTGGCAAAGAAGCCAACTGCCGGTGAATCGTGTAAAAAGTGAAAATAAACCATTTTCAAGCTTTGCGAGTGTTTTTCTCTCTAAAATGAATAAATGTTTAGGTTAGGTTTAATTTGAGTTTTTCAAGATCTTTAAAAGTCTTGAAGTGCTTGCTTTTATAAAAGGTCACATGAATTTGTAAAGTATCTATTATTGGTATATTCCACTGATTATTCAAATTTTCCACATAATTCAGTGTTCTGAGATGTAAACCAAGTGTTTTGTGTTTTGATGTGAAACAATCGCAGAGAAACTTGCTGACTTGTCTTTATAGTGGTGGTGAAAGGAATTGGGGGTCAAAATGTGTACAATACAAATGTATCCATTTTATCCAAAATGACCAGTAAACCTACATGTGTCGTGGACCACACAAGTTTTTATATATTATGTTAATAATTGCAAAATAATGATACATTAAAAAAAAAGTCTTCTTTAGGTCTAGTTTGTTTTACAATGCCCTGCATGTATCCCTCTTCCATGAATGGGTTTAACTTAGGCCAGAATTGTATCTCAAATCACAAAACAATATCTAAGGCATCAAGCAGAGTATTGGTAACTACTTCATGTAATACTTCTGTGAAGTAGCTTTTAGAGGCAATAAGCATTTTGGACGTCTGGTTCATATCACCAAAACAATTTGGACTGTAAGTATCTAGAATGGAGCATTTCACATTCGGTTCTATAGGTAATTCAGTTCTGTGTTTTTTATACTGATGTTGTGTTTACGGTGCTTTACCGAACTCGACATGACACTGCGTGGAGACGTATTCGCGCTCGAGACCCAGTTTGTTTGTGTGGCGCTCTGTTCAGCGAGATCATTGGCTGGGAGGGGCGTTACGTCATTGGACAGCAGCGACGGGGTTCCGCGGCTGTACGAAAGATGGCTGAAGTGGTAAAGTGCTGATTTTTACTTTGTAAATTTGTCTGTTGTCTTGTTTTTTTGTTAAACGACACACCCGATAACTCCGTGGTCCCGATATCTTTTGAAAATAAACTTGTGTAATTGGTTGCTCTTCGCCCTAACTTTTTATTCGCTGTCTACCTGCTTAAAACCTCGTAACGTGGTTAGCATGCTGGCTAACACTGTTTGGTATGACATGAAAATAAGCATAGCGGAGAAACAGCCTCGGGTTGAGTTTGCGTCTAATCTAACAGCCTAGCTCGCGTTAGGTGAGTTACTTAAGCTAACTGTCTAGCGATCTTAGTACTGTGTTGTAAGTAACGTGGTCTTTCTGCACTGTTATAAGTAACGGTACCGTTGATTACAGGCTTTTGCATTGTTAGCTAATCACTCATGTTGCAGTTAGACGAGTTGGTGTGTCAGAGGTGAAGACCAGCATCTGTTTTCCGTTCAGTTTTTCAGTCACTGAACAAAATTACAGCTGGTTGTGAAACATAGTATAGTATAGTTTTCTGTAGAGGTGGGCAATATGGCAAAATGTAAAATCACAATACGTTAGGATGTTTTTACGGTACACAGTGTGTCAAGTTATGTTTTCTGACGTCTGATAAGTTAGAACAGACAAAGCAATGCCACACTTGAAAAATACTATCAAAAATGATGAATCCAGTTTCTTGTATTCAACATTTCACACACTGTGCTGCACTATATCCAATTAAACAGGACTAATTATGCTTTCTTTTTAAACAAACATGCACTTGGGAAGTGATTTCTAAGTTCTGACGATATCCGTGATTTGCTTAGAAAAGCATATTGTGATATTGTCATGTAATATAATCACGATAACAATAAATATCATATTGCTCAGCCCTAGTTAACTGTGATGTATGCAGTTCGTTGTGTGCCTCAGATTACTCAAATAGTTTTCCTTTTGACACATCAGTCCAGTCAAAACAGGCTAAGTCAGAGTGCATTTACTTAGAAAGCATTGTTTTATTAACTTTATTAATGCAAAATTAAATGCCATCTGATACCATAGTATATTTGGGAAATACTGTAAGATTGAATATTATCAACATTGCTCAGTACTACCTGTAATGAGTGAGAACTAAAGGAGATGTGAATTTAATGATAAATGTTCGAGCGGATGTGATCTTTGTTTCCCTTTTATCTCCAACCTAGATATCTGACAGTGACAGTGATGGGGAAATTCGGGTGACAAGTCGACCCAACCCACCTCCCAAACGCAGGCGCATCATTGACCCTTCAGCTATCACATCAGTACCCATTTACTCAAATAAGGTACGGTCCTGTTCCTGGAACCAATAACTTTGCCAGGTCTTTGATGGCTTAGTGTGCTTATGACACCTAAACTAGTACACATGGCTACATTTGGCTGTAAGCGTTCTTTGGTATCTTGCCATTTTGGTATCGTGTCAAGGCCTCAGCATATGACAGCTTGCTTGCTAAACTAAATTATTAGTATTCATGCGAGTATGTGAATATTTTCTCATAATGTTTGACATATGAATAAGTGAAGTGTCAGGCCTTTATCAAAAATAATGTTTGTCAGTACATACTCCATTGGCAGTGGTATAGGTGTATGGTATCAAAATGAAGGGAAAAAAAATATAATTTTTTGCTTGTTAGAACCTGTGATGGTTATTTTATTATTATTTTAGGTGAACAGCAGCCTACAGCTGAAGCCAGCTATTTTTAAAAAAGTGGATTGCACAGGTAATGTTACATCTCATTTTGTTGTTAAGCGTTCATGCTATAAAATAGCTCACTTTACCTGTGACTTAGGTTATATAATTGTATGTTTGTACATCATTGGGTATGCAGTAAGAATCCAGTGCAGATATGTTTTGAATGAAATGTCTTGTAGAAGGAGAAGACGAGGAAGCCAACCTGTGGTCTCCATCCCCACCCAAGAGAAAAAACAAGCCAATCAGCATAACCCTGAGTGACTCAGAAGAGGAGCCAGAGAGAGATGAATCAGAACAAAAGAACCAGAATGAGAATCGGTGAGTTTCAGCTTAAATAACAATACTGAGTGTCAGTACAGTAAAATATAAGTATATAGTAGAATTCTGTATGAACACTTTTGATGCATTTTCAGTAGTATCTATAATAAACACTTATGTATTAAGAATGTGACAATGCTTTGGTATAACAAGATGATGGGAGATTAGATAAGTAGATGAGATAAGATAACGTGATGTTGTTATGAAAATCTTTGTAAAATTATTATTATTATTATTATTATGTCAATGTTTTATTATCAACTACTATGTTGCATATTTATTTATTTAATCTGTGTGAGATGTAACCTTCATCTAACAGAAACCATAAGAGAGAATAAAGATAATGTTCTTGCTTGTTTTTGTCTTGCCTTCTTTCTTATTGGCTTTCTTACCTTTCCCCTCTCCATCTAAGAGAGGTCTTGCGATCCCCCTCTCCACCCCCACCTCCCCGTAGCCCACCTGTGAAACGAACTAACCGTGCAGACAAAAAAATAAGGTGAGTAAATGACTTATTAAATAGTTATTAAAAATAGTTCATGTATAAATATATATAAATATTAGTTAGTTTTAGTATAAATATAAAAACTATATATATATATATATATATATATATATATATATATATATATATATATATATATAGTTTATATTTATTCATTTATATTTATATTTATTCAACATATATACATATACTGATCCACTCGTACCAGCACAACACACACTAATACACCACCACCACATCAGTGTTACTGCAATGCTGAGAATGATCCACCATCCAAATAGTACCTGCTCTGTGAGGGTCCATGGGGGTCCTGACCACTGAAGAACAGGGTTAAGGGGACTAACAAAGTATGCAGAGAAACAGATGGACTACAGTCTGTAATTGTAGAACAACAGAGTGCACCTATAAAGTAAGTGGAGCTGATAAAATGGACAATGAGCGTAGAAACAAGGAGGTGGTCAGAATGTTATGCCTGATCGGTGTGCATGTACATGTATATAATTACTTAATGATGAAACCCTAAATAAGGCAGCATTGCAAAATAAAAAACCTTGAGCTCACTATTGAGGCCCAAATTGATTTTGCAGAATCTGTATTTTATAAGAACAGCAAATAAATGCATGCAACTGAATAATTTGCAATTATGGACTTTTTCTTTTCCCTTAGAGAGATCAACAGGAAGCTGGAGGAAATTGACTCTCTCATGTGTCCTTCACCTGAAAGAGCAGAAGATGCTCTTGAACAGATTGACTGCCTCTCCCCCAGAAATGACTATGATGACGACGATGACATCATAATTATTTCCTCTGAAGATAAACAGAAAAGACGTCCGCCGAAACCCGAGCCCAGAGCACCAGCCCGAGAAATTTCACTGAAATTCCGGTGGCGAACAGATGTGTACAAAGTTCCAGTGCTTTCGGTAAGATGGGCATTTTATTATTTGGGTGTTTTCATGCCGTATAAATCACTTTAGATCAGTGTTTCCCAATCTGGTTCTCAGGGCCCCCCAGACGATCCACATTTTCACTTTAACCTAACTCACAACACATGGCAATGGTGGAAAAATGTGGACTCTGTGGTGGGGTTCTGAGGACCAGGTTGGGAAACACTGCTTTAGACATTGCCTGAAGAAAGGGTACAGTCCATTGTACAAAAGAAATATTGCTGGTGCACTTGAGTGGGATAAAAATTAGCATACTCTAGTATAGTCTTGAGGTAATAATATATATGTAAATTAGTGTTATTGTGGAAGGATGTTTTGGTTTGAATTATATGGTGCACATTTACTTAAGGTGATATGTGGATAAAAGGCATATTCTGTACGGCTGGGACCACTTATGGGTCTATCAGTTCATGAAATAGATAATGGCCATGAAATCAGTAAGTACAATTTTTTGTATTTTCTTTACATTTTTAGTGCATGAGTGGTATATGTGCCTTGATCCATTATCTCCAGTATGCAGACACTGGGTACCAGCCCGTTCTGCTAAAAGATAATTCAGTAGTTGCTGACTCACAGAAGCTTTGCAGGGGTACTTTGTGTGTGTTGTGGAGTTTAAGGCACTGCTTATCTCAGATTTCCACACTTTTTTTTCATGTGCAAAATGCAGATTTAGGCATTAAAGCTTTGTTTCCCCCTCTAGCGCAAATGAAAACTGTCTTAGGATTTGTAACTAAAATGGTTGGTGATGTAAATAATGGAAAAATGCATATTTATTGATGTCCTGATTTTATAAATTTTTTAAAATGTATTATAGTCCAATCCCTAATACAGTGTAAATTTGATAAGATATATTTGCCAGTTATAAGGGACAAATGTGTAAAATATATAAGTCTTACCTTTTAAAAAAATTACATAATACACTGGTTTTCATTGCAGACGGACCCTTTGAGTAAGGCTGTGGAGCAGTTATCTGCCAAGCTTAAAGTCCTGCCTTCTCAAATACTGCTACTGAAGCAAGACACTGAGCTCCCTGTGGACTCCACAGCCACTGAGTTAGGTCTTGGCATTGCTGACATCATAGGTGAGTGGAAATATGTATCTTGATTAAATGATGAGTCAATCTCCAAAATCATGAGTCATTTATTTTCGTGTGTGATACTTGTTGTGGCCTGTCTCCTAGGCACAAGACAAACAAAACACTTGACAACAAACCATCATGATTCCCTTTATTGTAGATAAGTGCACTGGAGACCCATATCATTCTTGTTCTAAATGTTTTGTCTTTTTCACGTTGAATTTTCATCTATATTCCATTAGACTGTGTTGTAATAACAGAGGACAAAGAAGAAAGCAACAGCCGTGATGTCATCACTCTGCGGCTGCAGGGCCAGGCGAAAGGATCTGCACAAGAATATTCTTTACATAAGGTTAGTGTCTTTGCAAAATTACTGTAGTATAAGGTCATCATGGGCATTGAATACTGGACTCATACAGTAATCCTTGTGCTTATTCAGTCTCTCTCTCTCTCTCTCTCTCTCTCTCTCTCTCTCTCTCTCTCTCTCTCTCTCAGGATGCTCCTCTAGGTTCTATCCTCTCTCAGTACACATCAGGCCTGTCTGCTGTTGCCAAGCGACGGGTTAAATTCCTCTTCGATGGGTCAAAGGTGACACCCAATCAAACACCTTCACAACTGGATATGGAGAATGGTGATGTCATTGAGGTCTGGACCTGAGTTCTACAAATAAGCAACATTGCTTATTTAAGCAACAATGATGGACCTCATTTCTTTAAGTAAAAATGCTGTTTTATATAAATTGATATATTTAGTGTTTTCTTTACAAGGATATAAATTAAGGGTTTTATAAAGTAAAAAATGTATATGTGTAAAGTTGGATTTTGATTTATATTTTTAATAAAAGTGAATGTGGATTAAAATGTGCATGTGTGTGTGTGTGTTTATTTATTTATTTTTTTTAAGACAACAGCAAACAGAGAGATTTAGAAACAGAGAGTAGTATCTGTGTTTAATTGTTCAAACCAACAGTGATCGAGTTCATAATATCGCATAGCTGATTTAACTGTTTGGTGATTGAGTCACTATTCGTCAGTGCATGATCACGTGCTTTGTCCTGAAGGCTCTGCTGAGTTGTCACTAAGAGTCAGTCAGTAAGCAACTCAATAAGACAGAACTTGATGTCCAGTGTTTTTTTTTCCAGTAAGTATTGTTTTCACATTATTTCTTTTTCCAAAATAATGTATATAAACCACACGTTTGACACTTTCCTTCTGTATCATCACGTTCCTGAAAGCAGTTCATAATAAATGGCTCATTATGGGCCATGAACTAATCAGGTAATGTCGCATTGTGCTTTTTGTTCGCCTTTGCAGGGTAATAGCCAGCTTATCATGTGGAACTGTTTACTTAACCATATCTCTGTAGTCATGGGTAGACCTACTGTGATTCAGCTATCAATGTGGCGAATGAATCTTTATTTTGATCCGGTTCACGCGTCCAAGTGAATCGAACTATGTTGGATCATCTGTGCAGCGTTTACGTCAGTATATTTGACTTTTACTTTAATCTGTGTTTAGATTCCTTATTGCGGAACTAAATATTCTCTGGATTCCCCTTTCTGATGTGTTTTGCCACGTACGTTGGGAGACTGACTTAGTCTACCAATCAAATGAATCAACTTGTATATTTGGTGGTAATTGTATATGCAGAAGAAGGTAAGATAATTAACTAATTATTGCAAGCATCAAACTGATTTCAAAGTCAAGGCATATGAAGGAGAAGAAAATGAATTTCACTTGAATCATCCTTGTAGCAACGAAACTGAACCGTTCGTTTAAACTGAGAGTTCGAGAGAGTCGAATCACTTTAGCGCGTGTCGTAACAGTCATGTGAAACTGGAGCGGAAATTCAGAGTCACTTCAACATGGCGGCGCCGTAGGAAGACTTGAGAACAACAACTGAGATACTGGAAAAAACAGGGAGACGATCAGATTGGAAAGCGGCCGGCCTGGATATCGAGTCACTGGTTTTGGTTTTAAGATGTTCACACGTCAGCTAAGCTAACCGTTTAAACCTTTTGGCCAACAGAGCGAGTTCAGTGTAGCGTCCGAGTGGATCTGTGAGGGCGCAGCATCCATCTGCACTGCTGACTTCAGCCTGCAACTCCAGGTAAACAACAAAAGTATCACCGTTCAGCTGCTGAGATTATTCAGCGCGGGTTATGTGGTTTTATTAGGCGGTTCTGCCTCATTCCTAGCTATAAATATCACCTCTTATCACTAAACACAGCAAACAAGTTCTCTTGTTTTTCTTAATCCTGTTTCTGATAGGTATTAACGGTGAATGAATTTGATAATGTAAGGTTAGTTAAATAGCTACATTTCTCAATGTCCACTTTGACAAAATAACGTCATTTGACCTATTTCAAGCATATGTTTCAATGAAGTGTATGGTGTAATAGTAGCCTGTGTGGGCAGTGTGGAAAGTCTTTAAAAAAAGCTGGTCGTGTGTCATTTTATTTCATGTTATTGTCAGCTTAAGTTTTTATCTTAAGGGTGCTCAGCTGTTATGCTTGTGGTGTTGGTTGCAAAACCATTTTTTTTTTTAAATGTTGGTCAAGGCTCAGGATATGGTCCAGTCTTGTCAGCAGAAATAACTGCAACTCAGAAGGATTTGAGCTGACAAGGGCGTCTGGCTTAAAAACACAAAATATGTGACTGATGTGTAGACAGCTTTCATCACCTGTGGTCTTCTAGTTCCCCTAGTTTTCTCACTTCTCTTAGATTTTATTATGTTAATTCACTGTTAGTGCGGTAAACATATTTTCAGGTTCAATACAAATTTTACTTCTGAGGTAAGGATTTGATGCAAAATATAAATTTTACTTAGAAAGATTGCAAAGTAGCTTGTCCTTTTGCAAAATAGTGACCTCATTAAACTTGCTCTCTTTGCACCTGAGTTATAAACAATGCAAAGACCTGAAGTGCCTCATAAAGAACAGATAATGACATGATTAATGTCACATCTGCCGATGCTGATATTGACACCAATATATATTCATAAAGTGTAAAAGTTATAACATCTATTTGTGTTAGCATTACAGTCAAAAGCAGTACATTCTAGCATACGTGGTAACCTCACATGCACAAGCTCAAAAAAAAGGTCCAGCTTGATGTATAGGTCTCAAATGGGAAATCAACATTATACTGATAAAGGCGACAGCAGGTAGTTCACTTGCATTCTTGGAAAACATGTTCTTCACCAAGTTTTGAAAAAAAGTTATTTTTAACTCTGATCACACTGTTATGCTTTGAAGTTTTGATACACCATGTTAGATTTTTTTTTCCTGCTCTAAGCAGTCAAAGACCTGCACAACAACAAACATGTACCATGTAAACATACCATTTATGTATTACATAAACCAGCTTACATAAAGCAATGAATGTTTTCTGCTTTCACTTCTGAGATATATTTACATGTATTTTCATTATCTGACATCATAAGTCCCGTGTCCTTATTTACTTCCTCATGCACATGTGTACACACCCTCACATTTTCCCTTCTCCTCTGTGCTCCGCTTGCTGAATAAATTAGATCGTGCACACTTTCGTGTACCTGGGTCTTCGCAGACTTTTCTCAACGAAGAACATACCACAGTTCCTTTTCGCCTCAGTGTTTCTTCTTGCATGACCTGTTTTCTGAAACAGGTCAGTGCACCCAGGCACCCATACATACACAAACACATCTTCTTCAGATTCAGTGATGTTAAAGAAATAGTTTAAAATGCTGACATTGCAGATCAAAACTGAAAGCTAACAGAAACCAGTTAGAATTTATTTGTGAATTTGATAACTGTTGAACGGACAACTGAAATATTCCTTTATGATCTATCTTGTGTTCCTTTTGAAGGTTTTGCTTGCAACCTTTCTGATATAAAACTTTCTAATATCTTCTAGGACATTAATATCCTGCCTTTTCTCTCTGCATCTTCTTTTTTGCAGCAGTGATGTCACTCGTAGATCCCACGTCTGATACCACACCATTCTTCTCTGATGACAACGAGGGGGAAGGGTCTGCTGGAAAGGATGAACTGCCTTCACCTAAGCAGGAAGAGGACTCCCCTAGTGGGCTGTCGTATATGCGAGCACATCTGACTGTAGCAGTACTCTGCTACATCAACTTGCTTAACTATATGGACAGATTCACTGTAGCAGGTAACTAGTATTGTGCATGCAGATTTAGCACAAGTTGTTATGGAAATGAATTGCAAACAGAACAAACAAAAAAACTTAAAGAATGAAGGCTTGTTTTCTACTTTAAAGTATTGTACACTGAGAGCCGTGTGTTTGATGTTACAATACTTACGTAGAACTCCACATTATAGGAATCTCTGTGATTCCCAGAGGCTGGTGAGAACAGCCATAATGTCTTGAGGTGGCTGAAGACGCGACTGTATGCATGTTTAGTGTTTTTCCCGACTTCTGAATTATTAAATTTGTATGTATCTTTACTTTTCAATTAAGAGTGGTTATTCTGTACTGGCCACATGGGTTTTATATTATTTTACAGTAAAATGGCGCAATGAATGTGATTTAACATATTGAAGTAGTGCCAAGCCACTTGGGCTCTGTAGAAAAAGTTTGATTAATGTTTTATTTCACTGTTGACCTGTGTGGAAATAATTTGCTTGGCTTCTTCCGTGATGTCCGGACAGAGGTTTAACTGGCAGTAAAATCACATCCCTTTAGATAGCACTGTCACCACGAATGTATAGTTTTACTGTGAGGAATTTGGGAGTTGCTTCAGTAGGCTATTGATCAGTCATGCTTGAGGCACATGGGATCTCTCAAGAAGACAATCAATCACTGACCCTGTGAATATATTGATTTCAGTCATTCAACAAAAAGGGTTAAAATCCGCCGTCCCTTTTAAAATTGTAACACTCTGGTCATCCTGATTGTTGAATATTCTATATGGCTCAGAGAATTGGGCCTGATCGTTTATTTATATTGGCTTATATTGCGGTCCATCTGATTTATTAGTGTTGCTGATAAACCGGGCCACTAATTATTCCTTAATATTCAAAGGAATAGACATGATGTGACTTCTGAGAATTGAATGGTTTCAAATGCATGTGGTGGTCTTTAAAGAGACTGTTAGATCACCACCTCCTCACTTCTTCTCTTACCAAAAAATATACTGGGTCTGTATTACTGGTTATCATATTTCTAGCTCCTTAAAATTGGTGTCGGTCACAATTTTCATCTAAGTCAAGCTGTAATATGTATTCACTGAGTACCTTTAAGCACTTGAGGGGAATTCCATGGAATTTTTTTAATCTATAAAGTTCCATTATTGCAGCGTAAACAAAGTAATTCAGGGTGGTTAGATGTGAAATGGTTTATTGCAGAGAAACTTACTGACTCAGATTTCTTTACGGTGGTGGTAATAAGAACCAGGGGTTCTTATAATTACCTAATTATCTAAAATGACAAGTTAACCTACACATGCCCTCTTAGTTTTATATAATATGTTAATATAATGGAACGTTGGTAATGGTAAAATATTAATAAATCTGAAAAAATAAATTTTCTTTGGGGACTATTGTACCTTACAATGCTGTTTACCTCTCTGCAATGGATAGATTTAAAAATATATATATTTTAGGGCAAAACCTTCGACAGCATATTTTGTGTAATAACTTTCTGTGAGGGAGCTTTTTGAGGCATTATATTCTATAGAGTACTGGTTCCTGTCACCACCAGTTTGAACAGTTCTGAGTCAATAAGTTTCTCTCAAAATAAAGCATTTTACACAAAACTGCTCTTAATGAATTTAATGAATTGCACAGAAACTCTGAAAAATCTGTGGAATTCCCTTTAAGATAAATCTCGTCAGTAGTCTATGAGAAGACAGTGAGAATGTGGATCAAAGCTGAGATTGCTGATGTCCTCTCCTCCAGGTGTGCTTCCTGACATTGAGCACTTCTTCAACATCGGTGATGGAAAATCAGGGCTGCTTCAGACTGGTGAGAAGAAGCCTCAGAAATGTTATGTCTGTTTGAACATTTTAGATTCAGAGTTACTTCATCCATGTTTCAATTCATAGTATTTGTTTTACTAAAGCTGGAAGACATTAGTTGAAGCATGTGAAATAGAAAGCAAGGTTAAGTGTGTAACACACCCCCCTCTCACAGTCTTTATCTGCAGCTATATGTTCCTGGCTCCTCTCTTTGGTTATCTGGGAGACAGGTACAACCGGAAGATGATCATGTGTGTGGGCATTGGCTTCTGGTCAGTGGTCACTCTGGCTAGCTCCTTCATTGGCAAAGATGTGAGTTGCACATCTAGCTAGTAGTGTTTACACAGCTTACCCAACAGTTAACCTTGGACTGACTACATTGATTAATGTATGTTTAACTGCCTGTCTTTGTTGATTAATTGCCCTCTCTCACTCTCAGTATTTCTGGGCATTGTTGTTGACGCGTGGCCTAGTGGGGGTGGGTGAGGCCAGTTACTCCACCATTGCTCCCACCATCATTGCTGATCTTTTCATCAAGGAGAAAAGAACCAACATGCTCTCCGTCTTCTACTTCGCCATCCCTGTAGGCAGGTGAGAGAGAACATGCATATAATAAAGAAGGTCAAAAGTAAAGTTTCAGCTTTTCAGAACAACAAATTGGATTTTCTTTAACGCTTTGGGAGTTGCTGCAGAATGCTATTGATTGGTCTTGCATGAGGCACACAAGATCTGTCTGTTAAGTGTTAGTCTATAGCGCAGACCCTTAGACCGTTTGAATCCCAGTCAATCAACTAGTTAAAACTGGAATCCACACATCCCTTTTTCCCATTTCAGCAAGTGATTTGTACAATAAGCTCTGAATACAATTCTTTCACCATCACTGGCATGTCAAAATGTAATAACTCCATAAGTCGTAAAATAGATTTGACAAATGTAAGGTCAAAAAATGTCTGAAAATGTTTTTACTAATAATAGAGATAATAGAGATATTACACAGTAAGGTGAGGTCTTAAAAAGTATGTTTTTCACTTCACCTATAAAATCACTATTTTAAAGACTTAAGGTGTTGTTTGATGATATTGTAGTATACATTCATTAATTTGTTCATTTTCTCTCCATTTCTCCTTACAAATTAGTGGTCTGGGCTATATAGTGGGATCTGCAGTGGATAAGGCTGCAAAAGACTGGCACTGGGCCCTGCGGGTAGGTCTGCTAAACCCTTCACAGTCCAGCTTGTTTTATTTCTAGTCCTACATTCTCAGGAGAGAAAGGTACCAAACTGTCACTGGGGTGGTAACCTTCATCGCCCTTGGATTGGTCTTACCTTACTAAACCTTACTTTTAGTTGTGAAACATAACTGTGCTATATTTCATATGTTTTAATATTATTATCAGTATACATAAGTTGCATCAGCTCCATAAACTCTGTCTAGGCTTTTTTATTTTTTGAAATGTTGAAAGGTTACAATAAGGTACAAATGTGCATCTTTCCCCTTGGCTAATGAATGTAATTTAACTTTACACAGTTGTACACAATTAGACCTTAAGACCATTTTAGTATGTTTTAACATTTACATTGTATCTTGGTGAATAAAAATACACCTGTACAGTACCCTTTTTCTGACGGTGTAGCCAGCTTTGTTCTGACAAATGACACTATCTCTGTCTGTCTGTCTGTCTGTCTGTCTGTCTCTGACAGGTGACCCCTGCTCTGGGACTGGTGGCAGTCTTGCTGTTGGTGTGTGTGGTTAAAGAGCCCAAGCGCGGTGCTATTGAAGCCCGACCTGAACACACCCTGCAAAGGACCAGCTGGCTTGCTGATATGAAGGCCCTCTGCAGAAAGTGAGTAGTGTTAGTTAGTAGTGTTTGAGTTCACCAGGAAACAAACTTTCTTGATATACCTTGGTACTTGATCAAGGGCTTTGTTGATGCAGCTCCATACTGTATATGTTAACCAGTTCCATCATGATCAAATTAAACTTTTTTGTTATTCTTTGCCTCTTTAGGTCATTACTATGATAGAGACTGAGATACAGTTTGGCACTCTTTGAATTGTTGACCATTTAGCTGACTCCTAAATATCAGTTGGTTATAGCATATACAACCCCATTTCCAAAAAAGATGAGATGCTGTGCAGAATTTAAATAAAAATAGAATGCAATGACATGTAAACCATATTTTAAAAGGAAAATACTGCAAAGATAACATATCAAATGTTGAAACTGAGAAATTTTATTGTTTTTAAAATTTGTTGCCAACATTTTGAATTTGATGCCAACGACACGTTCCAAAAAAGTTGGGACAGGGCATGTTTACCACAGTTTCATCACCTCTTGTTTTAACAACACTCGGTAAGCATTTGGGAACTGAGGAGACCAGCTGTTGTAGTTTTGAAAGTGAAATATTTTCCCATTCTTGCTTGATCTCCTTTGTCGTATTTCTCATTTCATAATGCGCCAAATGTTTTCAATAGGTGACAGGTCTCAGTCCATTTTAAATGAGATCAGGCCCACAGAAGGTCGCAGCATTTCTGGATCTTGTTTATATATGGTTTCTTCTTTGCGTTTTAGAGTTTTAACTTGCATTTGTGGATGCAGTGATGAACTGTGTTCACAGACAGTGGTTTTCAGAAGTGTTTCTGAGCCCATACAGTGATTTTCCACTACAGAATCATGTCTGTTTTTAATGCAGTGCCACCTGAGGGCCCAAAGATCACAGCCAGCAAATACTGCTTTTTGGCCTTGTCCCTTGCATACAGAGATTTCTCCAGATTCTCTGAATCTTTTAATGTTATTGTGTACTGTCGATGAAGAAAAGCAAAAGTGCTATTTTATGTTGAGAAAAATTTGATTGTGCAGTGGTGAACCTCTCCTTATCTTTACTTCTGAAAGTCTCAGCCTCTCTTGGATGCTTTTTTATACCCAATCATGTTATTGACCTGTTGTCAATCAACCACCAGGTGTTTTTTTTGTTTGTTTTTTTAGCATTACACAATTTTACCAGCCTTTCTTTGCCCCTGTCCCAACTTTTTTGGAATGTGTTGTTGGCATCAAATTCAAAATTCAAAAAAAAACAATACAACTCTCAGTTTCAATATTTGATATGTTGTCTCTGTACTATTTTCAGTTAAATATAGGGTTTAAATCATTTGCACATCATTGCATTTTGTTTTTATTTACATTTTGCACAGCGTCCCAACTTTTTTGGAAATAGAGTTGTATGATGATAATTAAAGATGGCACTAATTTGATACGGAGTATCAGTATCGGCTGATATCAGCAGAAAATGCTATGCAGCTGAATGTTAGCTGTGTATTTCTTTCTGTGGGATGGTAGAGTTTGTGAGTAGTTTGAGCATGATGGCCTCAGTTTGCTCCTCTTGAGTAAAGTATTTTAATTAAAATAGCTCATTTTAAAGCTTAGTAGTTTAAAAAAAAAAATCTGTCTGATTTCAGAGCAGTATCTAAAAAAAAGTGGTATTAAACCATCTCTAATGATAAAACAGCATGGAGCTCTAATTCTATGATCATCATCAGGGTGGTTGATTTTTAGGGCTATAACAGGTGATCATTAATGATCATGTAATCAATTAATTGAGTACTCAGTGGATTTTGTCTGCACTTGATATTTCTTTGGACCTTTCAGTTGTTCGTGTACATGGTGCTCAGTCAAGTTATGTGTTCTTATGATTATTTATACGCCAACATACAAGTTAAAAGACAATAAAAAAATTGTTCACAAAAAAAATAATAATTGACTACTCAAGCTATTCTTCAGTTTTTCTCCATTTGCCCCACCATCATTCAAAGTTCTGTCAGTGTGACAAGGTATTTTTTTATAGTGTAACAAAACAATACTATCTGTAGAGTATTGCCACCTGTCAGAATGACCATGTGTGTCAGATGAGCATTAGAGAGCATTAAAGATGACTTTTTCTCTAACTGCACAAAACATTAGCAAAAAATCCCTGCAGATTTTTCACAATAAATGTAATTACGAAGGAATTCTTTAATAATAATTGCATAGCACTACATTAAAGATCTAGACCAAAAAAAATCCATAGTAAGTGACCTGGCTTCAAATTTATGCCAAGAAATGCAGCCAACCTAAACTTTTTAAGATAAACAGACGACTGCTAATTGTTACTTCAGCTAATGTTAACTTACTCTCCTGGTCACATCATAATAATTTATTTCACCTCTGTACATTTTAGCTTGAAAACAGCATGTTTATAAAAAGTTAGTTATCTGATATCAAGCCTAATAAATTCACTAAATAATGTTGAAAGTTGTGTTCCATTAAATTTCTATCATTACAGTGATGTTCGTGGGTGGTTTTTGTACTATCTGCTGGCACGACAAAACACTTCTTGACTAGTGTTTTGTTAGCTTATGGGTGGCTTTGTGATCTTTCTGTTTCCTTATTTAGACTAAACATATCAGAAGCTTTGATGAAAATGGAAGACGCAGGCTTTTCACTGCCTTCAGGTGGAGTTTAGATGTCTCATGGTTCTTAAAAAATGAGAAGTGTGTGAGGCTAGAGAAAAGCTGATTTGCCTATAAAAAACTGGTTACTTTTAGGTTATTTAAACCTTCATGAGCTTTTTACATTTTTTTAATTAATTTATTTTTTTGTTTTGTTTTTGGAACGTTCCTTTTTCGAAAATTTGAAAATTCGGGCTTATCCCTATTACTTACTGACATACTGGATATTGGCCTTATCTTATATGGTAGTTTATTTGAGCAATTATCTCTTAATCGTTATCTAATTATAATTGTCTCTATGTCTGTCTCTCTCTTTCTACAGTAATAGTTTTGTTCTGTCGACGTTTGGCTTCACGGCGGTGGCATTCGTCACAGGCTCTTTAGCTCTGTGGGCTCCTGCTTTCCTTTTCAGAGCTGCAGTCTTCACTGGTGAAAAACAGCCTTGTGTTGCCGAGCCCTGTGACACCTCTGACAGGTAACACACACACACACACACTTTCTTTCGCTCACTCATACACACATGCACACATAGACAACGATAGAACAAGTCAAATCTATAGAATCCTTTAATTTTTTTCATGGCTTTTTTATCTTGGGGCCTGTCTCACAACATGATCAACTGTTAACTCACAGTTCTGACAACAACTGAAGTGCAACTGAAGTGCATCAAATTGTGTGTGGAGTTGTAAAAATAAACTGTATTAGATTTCTACTACTTTGTCATCCATTAAGTATGTGTTTGAATTAAACGAATCAGGTCAGTGACGCCTTGCCGAAATATTAAAAATACGTTGTGCAGTGCACATGACAGTCAAATGCTTTGTATTGCTCATCTGCCGTCATTAGCAGCAGCTCATGTCGCAAGAGCAATATAAACGTCCCTGTTCAGACAAGCAAATTTTATGCAGACAGTACTGCTCTAATGTGCACTATGAATAGCATTCCCTCACCAAAGAAATCATACTATGTAAATATGCAAAGTAAAGCATTAAGACCAAGTAAAAACCCAGTGCTTATTTGAGTAATTATTTCTTTGTTCTTGACATGTATGTAGTATAATTTGTCTCCTCTGCTGAAAAGCTGTATCTTTCAGCTTTCAGGAAAATACCACTTAAAAACAGACACTAAAACACAGTGCAGCATCATTGCTCAAAACATGTAAAGCAGCTTGCGTACTGTAAAGAAATTAAATAAAAATGCAAAGAAAGCTAAATCAGAAAGAAGTAAAATAATTTGGCAAAGCACAATACATATTCTGCTTATTCCTCTGACAAAGAAAGTAAAGAAAGCAAAAGCATGATTAGATCCCCGTGCATTATGCCTCACAGTGTTTAAAACACAATCTTTGGGCTGTATTTTATGTTTGTTCTAATCACTTCTGTGTCTGTGCTCAATAGCCTGTATTTTGGGATCATCACGTGTGTGACGGGCGTGTTGGGGGTGGCGATGGGTGTAGGGGTCAGTCAGTGGCTGAGGAAGAGGACGCCACGTGCTGACCCACTGGTGTGTGCTGCTGGACTCCTGCTGGCAGCCCCTTTCCTCTATCTGTCCATTGTCTTCGCCCAGAAAAGCACTATAGCCACCTACGTGAGTCTGCTTCACATTGCTACTGTATACACACACTCGTACAGTACTGTGCAAATGTCTCAGGCAGTCTAAGGTTTGCTTAGTTGGCTAAGACTCTTGCCCTCTCTTTCTCTCTCTCTCTCCCTCTCCTTCTCTCTCTCTCTCCCTCTCTCCCTTCTTCACTTTTTTGCACACTCACTTTTTCACACTTTTTTTGCACACTCTCTTTTGTATTTATTCTTTCCAGTTCCATTCTTTTCCTGCATTTCTCATTCTCATTTTAGTCATTCACTGTGTTTCACTAAAATGAATATTGCTCATTCATCAGCAACTCTGAATCCTATATTTGAGTAAAAGGACTGTCTAGACACAGAAATAGGTATGGATGTATGTGTGTGGGGTTGTGCACCCCTGTGCACCAGATTAAATGCTGAACGACAGTGTCGGCTGCACCTTTGCCTAATTTAGATGTGGCTGTGCTTTAAAATAAACTCATGGCTTTGTGTGTGTGTGTGTGTGTGTGTGTGTGTGTGTGTGTGTGTGTGTGTGTGTCTCTTGTTTGCATCAGTTCTTCATCTTTTTTGGTGAGATGTTCCTCTGCATGAACTGGGCGATCGTGGCTGACATTTTGCTGGTAAGACTCCTTCCCTCTCTCTAATCAGTCAAACAGTCTGTCCCTTATTTACCTCTGTCTGTGTCTCTCTTTCTCATAGTACGTTGTGGTCCCCACACGGCGGTCCACTGCAGAAGCTTTCCAGATTGTTATCTCACACCTGCTGGGAGATGCAGGGAGTCCCTACTTCATAGGGGTGGTATGTGACATACACACACTAGGGTTGCAACTATCGATCACGTTTAATACGTACACACAAGCTTGTTTCCTTTCAGTGGAATTCACTGTTTTGAGTGATGACCATGCTGTTTCATGTGAATTGTGGAGATTTGACAACTTTCATGTTCTGGGAGGCGGGGAGTCTGCTGCCCGCAGAGAACACCCGAGAATTCTGAGAGCCCCTCCTGTCCCCCCGAACGCAGCAAAGTAGGCGCTCACTGTCATTATTCAGTCGACCCACAGCAGTGAAGTTGTTTTTATTTTTTGTATATTCAGATTTTTTTCTTTAGTGAGGAAAAAAATTTAACATATAAAACACGATTTCTGTGGTCTGTTATAACTGCCATTAGATCTTTGGTGACCGTCTACAAATTAAACCGCAAGTGGCAAACATTAGGGTCCAAGCATTATGTGCCGTAACGGAACCAGTAAATCACAAACGATAGGCAAAGTTTTTAGGATGTCCTCAATTTATAATAGATGGGTTCTCAAAAGTACACACTGACTTCATAAACTTGGTGCAATAAGCAACGTTTTTTTAACAAAAAAGTCAAAATACCTAGAAAAATATTTTTACATGACTTGCATTGATGAACAAAATTTCACAGCAGTTCCCCTTTATTGTACTTCCAGAATGCACTTGAATTTCATCTTAAAATCCCTTCATTTATTCCTTGGAATGATGCCACAGGACCACGCTACCGGGGATCGGTCTATGAAATACTCACCTTTTTCATTGCATGAGTTTTCGTGTCTGCTAATAGATAAACATCTTCACTATTATTTGATTGATCAACTAATCTAACTATGATGCCTTTTTCAGTTCCTCTTCCTTTGTTGCCACAATCATTCAAATTGTGCAGCAGTTGATTCCTTCTCTTATGGTGTGAAAACAACCTGAAGCCATATTTTCCCCAACTGTCATTTGTAGAGCAGGACTGCCCAAACTTTATCATAGAGTAATGTATAATGTTTGTGGTGGGTCAAGGGCGAGCTATCTAGCTAGCAGCTCATTAGCATTAGCATTTACGTTATTGCACATTGCTAATATACATGGAGAAGCAGCATTCCTCAAATACTCAGTTATTTCTTTACATAAAAGACACACTGCCTTGCCTTTCAATTCAGTGAAACGAAGCAAGTATGTCATATAAATATTATAGAGCACTATAGAACACTATTAATGAGCAATACAACAATAATGAAATGACCCATAAAGTGTTCATGATCAATGTTGTCAAGTTTGGTATCGGTTCATTATTTAAGCCCAGGAAGCTTTCTAAAGCTTTCTTTTTTTGTTTTTCTTTCTCTCTCTCTCTGTCAGGTGTCAGACTCACTGAAGCAGGCAGACTCCTACATGTGGCAGTTCCGCTCTCTGCAGCTCTCTCTCCTGCTGTGTTCCTTTGTGGCTGTGGTGGGCGGAGCCTTTTTCCTGGCCACTGCCCTCTTCATTGAAAAAGACCGGCAAATGGCTGAGAACTATGTTCAAGCAGGTGAGCAGGCTTGGTAGGACTGGACATTTTAACCATTTTTGCCATTCAAATATCCATATTTTTAAACAAATGGATTTAAGGGAAATATAGTTTAAAAAAACAGCGAAGAAAAACAGTACAAAAAAAACAGTGAAGGTTTAACATTTATTTACTGAATGTAGCTAGCATAAGAAGTGATCTGTACCTGATTGTTGTTTTGGTTTTTTGATTTAGTGAATTTTTTTTTCTTTGTTTCTTTTGCGTATATATGATTTAACACACTACCAGATGACCATAAAGAATTACGAATCAAATATTAAAGATTATTAGATAAAATAAGATGAAATAGATAAAAATAAGAGGCAATAGCAGCTGTTTGTGCCTGTCATACTCTCTGTGGTTCTTTTTACACAAATCAAAAACTTTAATTAAAAGTTGCAAGATTACATGCGTTTTACTTTTTCAATGTCAGACTAAACATGCCTTTTTTGAATACCAGATTAAGTATACAAATACTAAGTTGAAGTAGGATATTAATATATTTAAATAACCACAAGCTTCCCTAGTGCTTCGAGCACTAAAAAAGTAATTTAAGATAGTAGCCATTGTAGAATAACAGTATCTTATCCAAACTCCAGAAGTGAAAAGAGTATTACAGAAACAGCCAAAATTTCCTAAATACTGCCCTAACAGTGGTGTCCTAACTTCTAAAATTTCACTAAATTCCTAAATTCTTAAATTTTAGTTTGTGCTGTTCTAATAAAAGAGAATGTTATCATTTTTAGGCAGCTGTGACACGTTAACCAGCAGTAACTGGCATTACATTTATTCATTTTACAAAACAGTGGTGTCAATTGTGAGAGTGATTTATTTTTTTAAACTCTGCAGTTTAATAAAAACCCAGACAAACATCATTTATCTAATTCCCATTACTTGTGTCTGTTAATGTAGATGAAAACTTGCCAAATAAAATATTGCAGCAATGGTGGTGAATAATGTGTAGACTGAGTTAAACATGTGGCTGGTTATTAGGAGGAATAGCATGGTGCTCGGTGACAAAAGCTTTAAATGAAATCTGAAACGGAGTGACATAGACAACTTGCACGTTATTTGTGTTTTCCCATTTTTTACAAATAGTGGCTGTCTATACTATAACTTATATTTTTGTTTTACAATATTTTGATTACATGTATGTTTGTTTGTATTGTTTGTTTGTAGCTTCGTGCGTATCGTCGGTTGCTTGGTAACAGACATAACAATCAAATGTCAGCATCCGTCAAGCAGCTTAGGATTTCCTAACATATTAGAAGATGTTGGAAATTTAGATATGATTCATAAATAAAGATATGTATTTGCTTCTGTAATGCGTTCTGCCCCCTGCTTGGTTGAAATAAGAAATTGCAGCCACACTTACATTCAACATGCTGACTGTTGAGTCCGGAGTAAATTCTTCTTATGTGACCCATAAAAAAAAAATCACCACCCAGTAGTTTTAGCCACAAGCATCAAACAGAGGGTGTAGTCTAATTTTATGTGGTTTTTCACTGTTAAGTGATCCCACATAAATTTAGTAAACAAACACACACACACACACACACACACACACACACACACACACATATTATTTTTATATATATATATATATATATATATATATGTGTGTGTGTGTGTGTGTGTGTGTGTGTGTGTGTGTGTGTGTGTGTGTGTGTGTATATATATATATATATATATATATATATATATATATATATATATATATATATATATATATATATATATTTTTTTCACTGCCAGTGTATATAAGGCAAATATCAGTTAGCCTAGTCCATATCATGCAGACTTACTAGTGAATGTACTGTACAACCAAATGTATGGTCTCAAAAATATAAAAAAAAATCTTTTCTGTCTTTTCTAGATGATGCACCCATCATTGTCCCTAAAAGAGGAAGATCCACCAAGGTCCCGGTGTCAAGTGTCTTAATTTGATGGCAGGGATGTTGTGAATCTAGGGAATTCCAGCTTCATGCGCCAAAGTAGATGGACATAGTTCAGCTGAAGGCTGGGCCTGGAATAGCCTGGGAAGAATAGAACCACTGATTGGACTGTCTCCCCTTCAGGGATTTTTATGATTATTTATTTTGCTTGTAATATTTGTTATTAACCCTTCTGTCAGTTTGGGAGCATTACTTAAGTAACAAGAAGTATAAAAGGGGCACTTCTGAAGAACTCGCTGTTTTATAGACCTCGTGTACTGACTGTCGTTCAGCATTTCACTAAGGACCCCTGTGTTTCCTGTTGAATGAAAGCTGATGACTGAGGACTTTTGGAAAATGTATGCAGATGAAGTGGATAACAGGAGGCTTCGGGTGATCAGAGAAACACAGACTGTGTTTTAAACCCAAAACCACAATAAGGAGATTTACATTTTTTGTTGAATTTTGTTTATTTCCAGGTCAAAATTAAAGCAGCACTGGACAAATTTAGCAGATATCAATTGACTTACCTGCAACACAACATCTGAACCACTGTGTAGTGAAGTGGCTACACTTTTAGCAAACACCTGTTCTGTGGTCAGCTCTCTAACGTGGTCAGCTCTCTATGCTTTTAGCTCTTTAACATAAGTTTTGTGGTCAGCCCTCTCAAGCTAACTTCATGTGTGCAGTGTTCTAACATGTCAGACATACTAATCCAGTTCCTGTTGATTTTATAATTTTACTCATCTTATAGGCTGTAAGGTTGAAAGGTGCACAGAAACCAAACACTACCCCTAAAATCATTCTTCAGAGATGAGACTAGCTTTTGTTATGCTGATTACACTTTCTCAATAAGACACATTCAGTGGAGCTGAAAAGTTCAGTGAACAGACTGTTTTGCAGATGTTTTGCTCTTAATTGTCTGAAGAAAATCATTCCTTTTTTGATTTTTTTGTGAGGACGGTTATAGAGTACCAAGTGTTTATTTTGAAAAAGCTGTAATTTGGGGAATAATTTTTACATTTGAAGACGCTAAGTTTTATTCATCTTTTTAAATTAAATATGGTTAAGATCATGTGTGTATATTTTATTATAATATTTTTTTCCTACTTCAGCTTCTCTGAGCAGTTGCTGTGGTTGACGTCACTCCTTAGCAACTCATGTTTTATATTTATTTACTGATCCAATTCTGCGTAGTATTAAAACTCTTGGAAATAGTGTTACACCATTTATTGACAATCTTTATATTACTGGGGCTCGGAATCATCTCAGCTACTAGTACTTTTTTCCTTCTCTGTCCTTAACTGTCACTGTCATTTCCCATGCTTATCTCTCTCGCTCTCTCTCGCGCGCTCTCTCTGTTTCTCTTTCTCTGATGAGTGATGTTGTCTTCAGTTGCTGTGGTTTCCTGTTTGTAGGTGGGAGAGACAGGTTCGGTAAATTTCTCACTATACTGCAAATTGGTCTCGCAACATGCAAAAATGAAAACAGCTCGACCGCTCCAGGCAGTAGTAGTGTACTACCGGCTGGCAGTTTGTGCAACTGCATCCGTGTGAGTGTGAAAATGTGTGTGTGCGCACAGCTAAATGCCATGTGTGTGGGAGGTGAGATGTAGGGGTTATGACTGAACAGCTATCTGAGATTGCTGTTAACCCTTAACTTCGCTCAAGGCACTCTTGATTGGTGGCCTTCAAAAACTTTTTTTTTTTAATTTGCTTACAAGGAGAATCGGACAAGCCACTTTATTGCTGAAGTAGTAATTTCTGCTTAATTCATGTTTATACTCTCTCTGGAACATAGAGGTTTTTATCACTAAATAAGTGGAAGCCACACACAATTCTGTGTCCTGCAGGCAGTCATACATGAGCGTGTCCAAGACAGAAAGAAATTAATTACATGTGAAGGGGGCGATATGGTAAAAGTTTAGTATACCGATACCTGGACATTTTCATGATATATGGATTCTACTGAATTCTACTGAATTAGTTCAAACTGGAGTCCCACAGGGGATAGAAAACAATTAAGTGTTCAGACCTTACATATTTACAGTGATTATGTTCTATTTAAGCCCAAAGCATTAACTGATACAGCAATAAGCTAAATTAATACAAAATCATGATTTATAGGGTACTTTTTTACTCATTTGGGAGGTGTCTACCCACTAAATTTCAATTTGGGAAAATAATATTTTTTTTAAACATCTTTTTAAAAGTGAAATTGAAAGAGTTTAACTTTTTAATTAAAGAAATAAAATAAGAATGCTGTCCCATATTTCTATGTCGCTACCAAAACAAATGTTTTAGTCCATAGTTGGAGCCACACCCCTGCATTTTAGAGCAGGAAGTAAGACTGCATCCATGTCCCTCATGGCCACATGGTGAGCAGTTAGATCCCATTGTTTTGAAGAAAATATGTCTCAAAGTCTCAAAATCAGTGTGTAACCTTGAGAATTGTCACTACTGAAACATATTTTCTGCAATTAAGTAAAATTTTTGGGTTTTAATGAAAAATATTATGATTGTATGCATGTACAACTGTTCAAAGCTGTGTTTGCTAGTCATGTACTGGCTAGTGTATCACTACTGAAACATTTTTTAAAGTTTGGATAGTGTTTTGGCAGTGACATAATGAAATGTTCAATTATTTGTTTTAATAAACATAATTAAGGTATAGGTTCACTTGAAGTATTTAGTCTAAAGTCCAAAATGTGTTATGATCTCTGGACCAATTCAGTAGAATTACCATATGTCGTGATAGTTAGTAGTTTTGTACAAAGTTGGACAAAATGTGCCAGCAAAACAGTAGCAGTAGTAAACAAATAGATTGGTGAATTAAATACAGTGATGTTGTAATGGACTGACATCCACTCAGCTATCTGTTACTGTGTAATTACTGCACACTTACTACTGACCATTTGCAAAATTTTAATAATATCCCACCTCCCTTAGTTATTGTCATCAGAAGCACTTGTGCTAATAGACTAAAAAACATCACTAGTGCAAAGGAAAAATTCAAAGCATACAAAACAGTATATTTGAAACACTCTAATTTCAAAATAAACTGGTTTTACAAGAAGTTCAGTGATGACCACCATGTTTGAGAACTGTTCTGTTTGCATTAATGTAATCAGGAAAATCGTTTAGCCACTTAGCGTTAAAGCAGCAGGTCTTCCTCTTCAGTGAGGTGGAGGTTGGGCAACTGAAGCTACCCCTTCAGATGAGCTAATGCTAAAGCTAACACTGGAGCTAGTAAGAGCAGCGATAGATGCTAAGAATGGCTCATCGTCTTTTAGCAAACTTTAATGAAGCAGTACAAAGAATGGCATGTGTTTGAGTGCATTAATATTTGTCTTTACAGATTATTTTAAATCATTGTTTTAATCACAGATGGGAGGTCTGTACAGTCCTGTTTAATCTGACTGATTTATAAAGCTGTCAGCTAACCGATCTGAACAGTTTTCTGTACTGTTGCTTATCGTTACACATCATATTAAAATGGTTTTTAGTACAATAAACCAGATAAACGTAAGCTTACCTCAGAACCAGCATAACTCTTGCCTATTACTAGTTTTAACACTCAATGCGTTTACATGCAATTGGGTAATGAGATAATAAGCCAACTCTGGGTCTGCATCATAGACTGTATATGTGTATTATACACAGTCTGTGGTCCACAGGAATCAGACAATAATCAGATTTATGCTCTGCAATAAGCCAATAAACTGAAGACATGACATAAACGTTGTAACTTTTTTTTAAAATATTGAGTAACTTCAGTGGAAAATATGAATATCGTAGTTGGTTTTATTGCTCCAAAAGTGTTTTGTTGCCATCTCACAGGTGCTGTGTTAAACGCTGCTTGCTGTTTCTGGGACAGAAATCAGAGTTAAGGTATACGTGCACTGAAAAACCTGATTACTCAGCTAAAATCCAGCTCTCATTATCAGATTTCTTAATGGAACTTCTAGACCTTAATCCAATCTCAGAAATCAAAGTATGTTGACCATTTGAATGATTAGATAACTGCCAAAATCCAATAATGATCAGATTATTAAGTGCATGTATACGCACTCACTGAGCTGTGAGTTTGGTCTACTACATAGTTCAATCTAAAACCTTTTCAGCTTTAGGAATGAAATAAAAACAGCACCACCTTCTAGATGATCCGTATAGTGTGTATCAGGCATTTTGTGTTCCTCAACAACCTTTCCAGCATTTTTTAGTCTGATAAATCAGACTATTTTACTGCCACTGGCATTCTCACTGCAGGCTTTGTTCTGAGGAGTTCTGTCGAAAGTTTTCCTTCACCTGAAGGTGGAAGAGACATTTAGAGGTGACTATGATTGTGTGACTGGTTGAAAGGTGTGTATCATATTTTTGCAAATGGTCAATTGTACATAAGCTCTATATCAGGAGTGCCCGATCTTATCTGCAAAGTGCCAGCATGGCTGCAACTTTTCATTCCATTTTCATTGAGCAATTAATTGTCCAAATGATCAGTTGTTTGAAGACTGAGACCAACTGATTTAATGAGCATGCTACTGTTTACTTGGGATGAAAAGCTGCAACTGCTCTGAGCTTTGCAGATTCACTTCTGCTCTATAAAACTGATTTAAATCGGTCATATTAAGATACATATAGTTGTTCAGTGTTTTGGAAGTTCTGATGGTACCCATGATATATTAAGAAATGCATTCTATAAAAAAGTATCACGATAATGACACCATATCGTCATATTGTCCACCACCTTGTGGTGCTTCAGAGACAAACTGATGGAAGTAATCAGGATCGGTTTAACAGCATTTATCATCATGTCCAGTGTAGACCTACATCATCATATTGTCTGACCTTCATAAACTCTTTGACCTTGAACCACTTCAAATTCAATTCGGACTAGTGGTGTGTGTGCATGCTGTTAATGCTGGTGTTGGATTGTCTCCATCTCTAAAAGATGGGTAATTCAGAAAAATAAACAATGTAGAACCCCTTAAACTAACCTGTCAGCTTGTCAAAACTCCTATTCCTCGCTCTTTTAGAATAATAATAAACTTTATACATCAAGCGCTTTGTAGCAGCTCAAAGTGCTTTATAATCATGTGATAAAAATAAATAAGAATAATACAACCAAATGAAATAAAAGCATAAATAGAAAAAAAAGAACAAGATAGGACGTCAATTACACTTGAACACACTTTCAAATGTTACTTTACAAGAGTATACTAAGCTAAGAAAATGTAGCATTGAGTTCTGCAGTTCCATTTAATATCCATCCATCCATCCATTTAATAAAAAGTTAATAACTTAGTAACAATAATTTATTTTTCCTACATAATAACTGAATAGTATGCTTTAGGATGTGGATATGCAAAAAAGCTTAAGAGGTTAAGTAAAGCCTGCCTCTGTGAGGCTAAGAGGAGATTTAAAGAAGGGAGAAGAGGAGCAGTGTGCAGATAGAAAAGCAGTTGCGGAGGCAGGTCAGATGAATGAGAGAGAAACCACGGAGAGAGAGAGAGAGGAGCTTAGAGACTGAGACGCCACTCAGAATGAGCCTATGAGGAGAGAGAGAGGTCGAGCGTATGCAAGAGCAGGCACAGGAAAGATAAAGAACGGCAAAGTTAGTCAGGGATGGCCTAGCTCTCCAGGGCGCTTATTTGGTCAGAAGCATTGGGGCGAGCATTTGAGTAGGGGGATACTGCTTGTGTTATTTTTGTAGATTATGAGCAGTTTGGATGATTTTGTGGCTGTCTGAGACTCAGGTGCTAATAGAGAGACAGGTGAGAAGAAAGAGGGAGACCTAGGCTTAGAACATAGACGAAGAGAGGGACTAGCTGTGTGGGTGAACCAGTATGACCGAACCTAGGGTGTGATCAAGGTGTGAATTCGGTCAGTGACGTGTGTCGTGTGCGTGTGGACAGGTCCTCCAGTTTGGTTCTGGACCCTGACTGGCAGTTGCTGCTACTGTGCAGGTAAGTTTGACTGAATTCATTTTTTGTACTCGGAGTGTCACTGAACCTCAACTGGAAGTTTATGTTTGAGCTAAAAATTGTAGTAAACTGTCCAACGTACAATGTGGTGTGACTTTAGAGGAACAGTTTAGTCAGTAATACTAATGTTGCAATAATGAAGCAAAGTGTGCCCCCAATTAGCACGATAGAAATGGTATTATACCAATTGGTGGCTTACATTCATTGTCAGAAACATTAGCATTTATAATTGAGCAACTTATTTAAAGATACAGCTTTGTAGTTGCCTCATACAGTCCTTTAGTTCAGTCCTCAAGGACGTGTCTTGTCCTTGTCATTCGTCATCATCTCGCCATTTTCTCGGGCTTATTTCCTCGACGTTCTTTAGGCTCCATCTTGTCTTCAGCTGGCTTTTTTTTTTTTATTTGGGTTGTAAGGTCCTAATGTCCTTTGGCGTAACCAAGTGGTCAAATGGTCTCATAATGGTATACCACAGATTGGTCTGTTAAGGAAACCTCATTTTCACACTTTCCTTCCTTCCTTATTATCATTCACCCCTAAAAGAGAAGTGAAATCAAAGAAAGTGTAATGCTGTACTCGTTACCAAACTATGCATGATTGATTTCAACGAACTATGCAATGGTTACCCCAATGACATATATGTTTTTGCGTGTTTTTGGGTTGATTTGTATTTTTATTGTCTTGTTTCATGTCAATGATAAAATGTGCAATGTCCATGGTGGTACATAAGCATCAGTTCGTGATGTAGGTGTAGGTTCAGGTTCAGCTTGATATCTAGAATGTGTAGGGTGGGTGAGAATGCACTGGTGAAATAGAGGTGGCTGTGCCAAGGGTCTGGTTCTTGGGGGTTTGGGGCTGAGAGAGGTTCTGCAGCTGGAGGTGTAAAGAGAGGCCTAGGCCCACTCAGCCTTTTATAATGTGCCTCTTTTTCTTGTCTTCTTCTCATCTAACTGCAAAATACAGGAAATCCGTTTCCTGGCAGTAAATGCAACCACACTCACATACACACACAGCACCAGAGGGTGTGAATATATGTTGGGGTTTCTGTGCAGCCCTGCTGATGCTAAATGAGATTAATCAGATTGAGGATGTGTTGAAGTGTAATTAAAGTCATTTTCCTTTGAAAGACGGATGTAGATTTATTTATTTAATGGGAAAAAAAATGTTAAATGAATGTTCAACAGAGTGTTTTTGTTTCAGCATTTCAGTATCAAATGCATTTCCAATCTTATCTTAGCTATTTTAAGTCTGGTCTTAAGGCCTAACAGTGTAATTTAGTTTAGCCATTTAAGCCGTAACAGAAAAGCAATGACAAGATTACATTTCTGACTTTATTACCCATTTAGCTTAAAAAATGCATATTGCCATTTGGCCCCCAACAGAGTGCCTTGCTATCCCTTTGCCGCTGTAGCACTAAGAATTTCCCTGTTGTGGGACTAATAAAGGATTATCTTATCCTATCTTCAATAATCTAATACAGTCTTATGCCAAAGTTGGTCACATTGCATGTTTGATTTTCTAAGTGAAAATAAGTTTTTGAAGTTAATAAAACAGCTGCACATTTTAATACACAATTACTGCGTATTTGTGAGTTTGAAAAAAATAATAAAACATATAATGTGCCATAACTTTTACACAGGCCTCATTTAATTTTTTTTTTTTTCCAAATATGTTAAATTCAGTGAATAAACAGCAATTGTGTATTAAAATGTGCAGAAGCGTGTTCTCTGAGGATGTGTTAAGTTATTCACTTAGAACATCAACATGTCACTTAACCCGGGGTGCCCAAACTTTTGCATATGGCTGTAGACAAAAACAACATTAAAAACCATTTAAATTATGAACACCCATTTCACAAAACAGTGCTAAATTCTTCATATTAAAGTTTAAATAAATAAATAAGGTTAAAATAATGTTAAAATTAAATTAAATAAGGCCTATTTATGCAATAAATGGTAACACTTTATTTAAACGCTACTTACGTGAAGACTTCATAACACATGCATTAACGTATTTATTAAGCAATACTTGAATATTTTTATGAACAGCATATTGCAGTAATCACAAGGAGATATAGGATGTTTTATGAAATAAGTTACATTATATTGACATAAGAGTCTAAAGTGAAACTAAACTAAGTTGACTGATAACACTGATATGAAGCATCACTTCTAAGAAATGGAACTTAGAACTTGTGGCTGCAGATATAAACAACTAACTCTGTTTCTCATGTCTGCAGCCTCACACATCTCTGAAGTAGAAATCATTCTTCAAAATAGTGTAACTAATAATTCGCAAGACAGATGGGGAACTTTTATAAGATGAGTATTTTGCCAAAGGTATTTTTTTTTTCAGGTGTTCTTATGGGAATATGTATATTCATACATACCATCAGTAAAAAATAAAAAGCATCTCCATTTTTAACTATTTCTAGTTTTGCACATCATTTGAGCTCAGCAGCCTTTAACAAAGCCTGTGAACAATTGATAAATGAACCAACAGAAATGCTCCAAAATTACTTGTAACTAAATCACATTACATTAACTTACATTAACACTTGAAAATGTTTTTGCTCTTGTCCTGTAATGTTTCCATTTTGGAAATGCTTATTTTTCTTTAGACAGTGACAATATGTGGAAAAATTTTAAGGGCATCAAAATCTTCAATAGAACTAATATGTGGAGCTTTTAATGAGGCATCTGCCTTATAAGTACCATTTCTTGGGTATGATGCTTCATAGCAGTGTTATAAATGTATTACAAATGTGTGTCGCTTTATTTTAAGTCCCCGATGTCATTTACTCCATAAAATGTCTTCCATCATCTGGAGATAACTTGCTTTAAGCTGTTTATAAAAATTAAGAAGTATTGCTTTATAAATGTGTTGTTTAGTGCTTGTACATGTGTTATGAAATCTCTATTATTATTTCTTTACCAAATGATCTTTATTTAGTAAAGAAATAATAACACTAGTGATAGATAAAGTTGCTGCTTTTCCTCAGAAGAGGTTGGAAATTGTTGATTATAACTCAGTAGTTGAACCAGTAAGCATCCAAATGAACCCCTGGTTTGGTCTCTTAAACCCTCTTTAGACCAGATGTACAAATGTGTTGTAAAAATGTCAGTGTCTTCAAGTTTAAACCTAAACATTTAAAACTGTCCCAAACTTCTCAGGTATGGATTCCTCCACACTACTGAGCTTGGTGGGTGCAGCACTTGTTCTGTCAATCATCTTGCTGGCCAGCATTTGCCTACACTGCAAAGGAAACAGCCAATCAAGTAAGATAATGCAGAATCTCTACGTAGACGCTTCCATCACCGGAAAATAAAACCTCTGTCTGTGAAGATATATACACTGCCACTCAGTCTGGAATGAATGTTTTTTATAATATAAACTCAGTCTTGTTGCAGATATATCATATGGCATGCAAAGGTTTGGGCGCCCCTGGTCAAATGACGTGTTCTGTTGATTCTCTAAGTGAAAATGAGTATCTAAAGTATCCTCTACATATACGAAAGTATTTAAAAAACCCTCTAAAGAGGACACACTTCTGCACATTTTAATGCACAATGACTGGTTGTTTGGTGAATTTAACATTGTGGATAAAAAAGAAATTCAGTATGTTACACTCAGCAAATAAATAGACATTGTATACTAAAATTGGCAGAAAGCTGCCTTATTTACGTTCTCTGTGGAGGACGTGTAAACTTATTTTCACTTAGAAAATCAACAAAACGTGTCATTTGACCAGGAGTGCTCAAACATTTGCATACTACTAAACATAAAGTAGTTTCAATATGATGCTAATACACTGCAATTCCACTGATTTCTGGTAACTAGTAGAAAGCTGTAAAAGATTTAAAAATGTGAAATGTGTCCAGATGCTCTGAAATTGACTGAGAAATAGGTAGAACATTTAGAATGACTAAAATTAACTGCCAGAATACAATAATTTGCAATGTGGTGATGAAATTTTTAGGCAGATTTGATAGGAATTTGCTACAAATGCAGCATAACAGTACAATAGTATAGAATGTACATTTTCTAGATTCAGTACATTATCTATATTATCTATATTAATAGATTCTTTTTGATCACAATTAAAATATTGAACATAGCATCTAAAACACATTTGTCTGGTGGTTTGAGAAAGGGTGCTATATAGTGCTGAAAAAGGGTTCTTTGATTCATAACAATAGCTGAACCCTTTTTTAAGAGGTCATAGAGAAGACCCAAAAGGACAAAGAACCATTTAAGCATTCGAAAGTTTTTTTTTTTTGAGTTGTCATGTTTCTCTACATAACTATTGTCTTTAGTAAAGAACATTTGAAGGGTTTATTTAATTGATTTAAATCTACATATTATATAAAATCACTATTAATAATTAAAATCTATTAATATGACCTTTATTATAGGATAAAGGAGCACAACTATTAACATGGCTGGTGATTCTAAACTTTTCAGTGGTAGTGCGCATCGTCACTGTTTAAGAATAAAACAAACATGTATGTCCACTTTTTAATTTTAATTTTCCTGCATCACTGGAACACCAGGGCAGCTGCTCCTTACAAATTTGTGACAATTCCTTGATGATTGGACTAATAGAAATGATCCAAAATCATCACTTAACAAAATAAAAGTCTCTTTGCATTAACGTACATTCTTGCCTTCTCCAAGTTTGGACAGTCACGATCCATAAACTCAGCTCTTTTAATCCTATTGACCTCTTAACAAGCCATGGGTCCACTGGCAGGCGCAAAGTTTTATTGCACACCTCTATAACCTAAGAAGAGCTCCATCAGCACATTGTCCCTGTAGTTACTGAATAATTAGCTTTTGTACGAAATTAAACGGGAATGTTAAGGGGTTAAACATTGTCGAATGATATTTTTCTGCTTTATTTTTCATAGAATACATATCGCAGGACTATCAACAGTCCAGTCACGGGTAAGGAATGATGTCTAGTAAAGCTTATGCTTCACATAGTTCTGCTTTTGCTGGGCGTACTTCCTCATCTAACCACACCTTTAAAGAAATATGTGCAGCTAGTACTAATGCTGTCTTCAGGTTCATTTGTTTTTTAATGCTCACTTTTAGCACTGTTCGGTGATAAATCCCATCTAATGGATTAATTTTTTATCGAACATGAAGTGTTTCTTAATGCTACCGTATGTTGCACTACCTTCTTGAATTAGATCTGTGTACTCTGCTTAGGGCCAGCTGTGCTTTGTGTCCTTTATTTGTGTGTGTGTGTGTGTGTGTGTGTGTGTGGTGCATAGGTGATAGTTTTAAACTTGTATCTCTCTGACCTTACAGGAACCATGGATTCGCACTTGTACGCTCATGTAAATACAATATTCACTCATTTAAATTAAAACCACATTTTTCAGCTACACACAGTACTGCGCAAAAGTCAGAGACCACCCTTCATGTGTTTAAGTTCCAGTCAAAATGGCCATTAAGTACAAGTTATTCACGTTTCAGGAGATATTTCTGGGATTATTACTATTTGGGAATATCGAAGGTAAATAAGTGAAAAGAACAGGAGTTTCCAAACTGGATGCAGAGAAAACTGGACAAGTAAGAGTCCAGTGCAAGATCTGGTAGACCACCGAAACTGTCCCCATCTGATAAATAGTACTTAAAGCATTCATCTGTAAGAGAGAGGAGAAAATCAAGCTCCACTCTTACTTCAGATCTGAAAAAATCTACAGGTGTTTCTGTCCATCCATCCACTGTGAGAAGACAACTCAACACTATGAATCTGAAAGGATGTGTAGCTGTCAAGAAGCCCTTACTGAAAAAAGGAAATGGACAACAAAGAATAACATCTTCAAATCAAATAAAGAAGCTGCTGGTGTCCTCAGAACAATGGACTGACCACCCCAGAGTCCAGACCTTAACATCACTGAATGTGTTTGGAATTACTTAGATCGTGAAAGTGCAACCAATGTCTAAGACTGAACAGTGGAGGAGTGGGAAAATTTCCCTGTAGATTTGGAGGAATGGAAGCTGTTATAAAGGAATAGGGTGACACATTAGAAAGTGAATCAACCAATGTTTTATTTAGCTGTTGAGGCTTCTGCGTAATCTTCTGTTAAGTATACTTACTGAATGAAGGATGGTTCTGGCTTTTGTACATTACTGTTCAAAAGCTTGGAATCACATGTCATATGAATAATTGTTTTTATTCAGTAACAGCCAATACAGTGAAGGTCTGTTCTGGGAACAGTTATTAAGTCACAAATAATATCCCTTTAATTATTTATTTATAGTTATTTCTTGATAGATTTTCATTTTTACAACTTCCTACTAACTGGTTGATGCCCATGAAGCTGTAGAGTAGAAACTAGTTTCATGCTATTGAGAAAAGAGATTCTAAACATTTGAAAGGAAGTAAAATATTTAAACTATTATAGCATAGTGTGTTAAGATCATGTCTTTTTAATGAAAGTAATTATTATTTTGTAATATGTTAACGAAAGTGGGTAGTTATTTTGATAATGAAGTCACCCTCTCTGTTCTTCAGATACAGAGAATCCTTTGCCCAATACCCTCCCTACTCAAAATTCTTTACCGATTATTACGTGAGTCAAGCACACACCCACACCCACAGACACACACACACACGTATACTTGTATAGTGGTGGTTATATATGTGTGTGTATATATATATATATACACACACACACACATTATTGGCCTGAAGACACTGAATTTCATGAAACAAACTCTTTTATATAGTGTAAAAACTGTAACATTGCTGAAGGGCAGCACATGCAAGACTGTATGACACCTACAAGCTTTTAATGATAACTGACATGCCTACATAAGCTTTTATAAAGGCTTATTCCAACAAGCATCAGCTGTCATAAAGGCTGCTTTTGTCGATTTTAATGACATTTCACCTCAGGAAATGTTTGTTGGTATATATAAATATCATTTTTCTTATATCATTATTAGACTACATGAGTGAACTGTCATCACGACCTGCTTTACTCCACTTTCCATGTTATTGCGAAACAATTCTGTGATATCTCAGGATAGAATCAAATAAGATTTGTTCTCTGATGTCTGATCTAGTTTTTCCCTCTGAAATTAGCCTGATACCAATAAGAGGTGTCGAATTGGTGCCATCTCTAATAATAATTTTGTAGCTCTGCTGAAGTTGTGTCGTGGAGGATACTTTTATTTCTACATGAGTCATTATTTGGTTGAAGTACTATTACTTGTGTTTTTTAACTGTTACCAGCTCTTTTCCTCTGCTCTCTGTTCAGTTCTCCAATGGCTGATCCCAGGCGGAGCTCTGCTTGCCCTTCCTTTGATTGTGAGTTTGCTGCAGCCACCTTGACGTCGAAACATTTGTTTGCTGAACATGTAACTCAACATCTTTTCAAAGATCAGCAATAAGCCCTTCAAATCATTGAAAGAAACATCATAACTACATAATGTATGTTTTAGTTTCACAGTAGTTACTTAATAATTACTGAATAATATGTTTTAAGGTTAACAGCCAAAAATTAGTTGATAGTCACTACATGGACTACAATGCAAACTGACTGAGTAATTGAATTGAGTAATTGAGCATGAAAGAAACCCCTGGTATGTTCTGGCTATTTAAGGGGTTGAGTAGCGTATGTATAATTCCATTTCTAAAATCTGATTTGCCAAGCCAGGTTCAAAGCCATTGTACAATATTCAATATACACACATATGACCACACATCAACTGTATACTGTATTCATTTTAGAGCTATTAGATGCAACATTAGTTTCAGTCAGGCTTATTGTTGCAGCAAGTAAAATAACAGAAAAGCAGAATTTTGGGGGGATTATTATTATTAATAATGAGTTCAATTTTATTTTAAACAATGTAACAATACCACATATCATATTGCATCAATATGAGCCTTTCAATACGCACATTGAGCAATGCATTTAAGAGACTGGAGCATATAAAGGACTCATTTTAATACGAATTATTGCATCAAATATAATATAATATGAAACAAGCAAGACTGCAGACCCTTCTTCCTCTGAAAAATAGCACTTCCTCTGTACCTCGGAATCGAGAGAAGGGAAAAAAGGATACTTCTCATAAGCTTATATTGCCTTGTGGCTAGTGCGTTATAATAAAATATTGTTCTTTTATCATGTTGGATGCTCTTACAATCTGAAAATAGAAACATTAATATATTAACACACGGCAGATTTTCAGCCAATCCTTATTTTTGCTGGGCAGAAGAATCTTGGCTTTTCTGAATTACACCCTATTATTGAACATTTTGTATTTTGTTGCCATTTTCTGAAAAACAATGACCCACTCATGACTGGTCTGAGTGATTTTACCCCAGTTAAGGGGTGTGTAAGGGGTTTTGACGACTCCCTTGTTGTCATGAAACAAAAATGAAACAGTGAAAATGAAAGGATGTTTTAAGTCCGCAGTTCTCAGTGACACAGGAAGTTTAGGCAGAATCTGCTGTTGACTTCTTCATAATCTGATAGTTGTGGTGCTTTTTCTTGCCTTAATTTACATTTTCTTTCTAGGTGAAAGTGAGATTGATTATGTGAACCAAGAAGGTGAGTTGCACTGGAGCTACGAGGCAAATGAATTGGAACTACAAGGCTAATGCCCTGGAGCTACGGGGCTAATGCACTGGAACTATGAGGCTAATGCACTGGAGCTACGAGGCTAATGCACTGGAGCTATGAGGCTAACGTAGCTAACAAGTAATGGAAGCTTATAAGCACAGAATTTAGCACATGCAAACTTGCAAACTGCAGCCTAAATCATCACACATTTGCCTTAAACTGCATCCGGTTTTTAAGTAATCTCAAATAGACTTTATTATTTGGTTTCTGACACTGCATGATATTTTGCTATCTGTAAAGACAGACAGCAGAATGTCACTGACATCTGGACAAAAGCACCTGACATAGCTAAAAACAATAGTAGCAGCCACCTTGAAGCCTTAATTTTGTCAGCACTTTGTCCATCATTTTCTGTGCATAAATACATACATATATATATATACATAACAACACAATTTGGTTTGAGGCAAATGTGTGATGATTTGGGCATGTAGTTTGTACAGTGCTAAACTCTGTAGCTAAACTCTATATAAGCTTCCATTACTTGTTAGCTTCGTTAGTCTCTTAGCTCCAGTGCAAAACTAAGAAGCAAACCTAAGACACCAAACAAGTCTTGGCTGATGAGCTATACAAAAGGAGAAAATTGTCTAAGTGTGATATGTGTGTGTGAGATGTGAGATAACTTCTCTGTAAGAGTGTTAAAGGGTGTGATTGTATTTCGTATCTTGTACATTTAGATAACAATGAGGATCCTGGAAATGGCTATGAGGCTCCCCCTGACAAGAACCAAGACTATCCTGACTATCTGTAAGAACACATCACTGTACTTCTTTGAAAATTAACTTTTTAGAACAGTTCCTATGCTGCGTTCAGCTGAAGCCCATAACTAGGAATTTCTTATCTCCAACTGGGAAAAATGAAAGAAAACACCCCCTTAACTGGGAATTCCTACTCAGAAAGTCAGGATGGTGTCTTCAACTGAGAGCTGATACGATGACATAGTAGATAATTCACTCACACCCTTGGAAGACACGTCCTTCGCCAAGTTTCTATCTTTTGATTTTCTTCCAACATGCTCGCAAATGTCAGATTCTGTTGTTGGGGTCCGAAGCGCAACCGATGTGGCAAGATGTTCTTACACACATTATGTGCAGTTACACATGTCCACCAGAGAGGTCTCCAAATCTTACATAGTGTAGCTTTAAAGGACATTTGCTTTACAACAGTTGAATATAGAGTTCTCTAATTTGAGTAGGTACATAAATACATCATGAATGTTAAAGTTATCACTCATATCACCATCATTAGCTGGCTAGCTTGTTGTTAACAATACTCATTTTCATGGAGGCCTCAAACATGCAGAGGATGAAAATGAAACAATTCTGAGTTCTAACTTTTCATTTCAGAGCGAAGTCGAATGCAGCACTAAAGATATTCATCCTAAAAACATATTTCTCTATGTACACTACAGACCAAGAGGCAATGCTAACCTAATGAAATTTACCATGACATATTTTGCTTTTGAGAGATAAAAGACAGCTATATGACACAAAACAAAAGGCTTTGACTACAAGTCTCCAGCAATAGTGTATAACTGATTCTTAATGCCTGTACCTTTTTTCCTGCATTTTATTCCATTCCTAAACAAATCCACCTCATTCAGATAGATAAAGGCTTGATGTGTGTTAAATTAGGAGTTTATAAATAACCAAAATCTGCTCAGTGTAAAAGACAGTTATCAACAAAGACCAAGAAGACTTTTCACATAAAATATGTAAATATCCAGACTTTTTGTGCAATGTTTGTGGCAGGCTGAAGGACAAAAAGACAAAACAATATGTAAATAAAGAAGGTAGATTGGTTTCAGAAGACTTACAAGATGTATTTCAGGATGTTACAGTATATTGTATTACAAAAATACTAGATAAACATAGTATAAAAATACACTCACTGAGCACTTTATTAGTGCTCCATGTTGAAGTTCTACAATTACAGGCTGTAGTCCGTCTATTAGACACACCTATCTTGTTGGTCCACCTTGTGGATGTAAAGCCAGAGACAGTAGCTCATGTATTGCTGCACAGTTTGTGTAGGTCATCCTCTAGTCCTTCATCAGTGGTCACAGGATGCTGCCCACAGGACACTGTTTGCTAGATGTTTGTTGGTGGGTGGACTATTCGCAGTCCAGCAGTGACACTGAAGTAGTTAAAAACTCCAGCAGCACTGCTGTGTCTGATCCACTCAGACCAGCACAACACACACTAACACACCACCACATCAGTGTTACTGCAGTGCTGTGAATGATCCACCCCTGCTCTGTGGTGGTCCTGTGGGGGTCCTGACCACTGAGGAACAGGGTGAAAGTGGGCTAACAAAGTATGCAGAGAAAGAGATGGACTACAGTCTGTAATGTAGAACTACGAAGTGCACCTATGTAGTAAGTGGAGCTGATAAAATGGACAAAGAGTGTAGATACAAGTAGGTCCTAATAAAGTGCTCGATAAGAGTATGTATGTATGTTCTCTCATTGAGCAAGAGCGATTTTAGAGTAACTTTCTGGTGGGCCAAGTCAAATGTATTCATGGGTTAACTTTAGCCTGCGGGTCACACTTTGGGCAGCCCTCTGTAAGACTACAACACTGGAAAGCAGTTGGATATTTTGGAAAATGTCTTTGGCCCAGTAGTTGCACATTCACTTCTGCATGACCACATTTATTAGAAATCCATAATGCTAATGATAAATAGGAAACATTATCTCATAATTTTCAGTTCTCATCTCTGTATTGCTGTTGTAGGGACGTGTTACCAGATGACCCACACGTGTCACAGAACAGTCTCGCCTCTTCTGCAAATTCAGGTAGGTTGAGGAAGAATCCAGAGGCCTTGACTTTACACCACAACCAAATGACCTGAAGCTCTACTAAACCTTAAAGAGTAGTGTTGTGATGTTATGCAGGAGACTTAATGCGTTGGTGTTGAGAAAATGACAAATGGGTCATTCTATAGTTTTGGGCATTTTTCATGTCTGTAGGAAATATCTTCAGTATATTTTCATCCCTTTCATACAAGGTCATATTTTATCAAACAAGTACATCCTGAATAGTGGACAGAGAGGTCAAACTTTAAAGTCTGCTATGTTACCATTACTAGGTAACATAGTTGACATTTTTAATCTTATGCTTGTGAAAGGCTAAAGCAATGAAGTAGTGTCTGTGGATCTGCATTCCCATATGATTAAACATTTGTATTATTTTTTCAACTTTTTATAAAAATGGAGTAACACTGTTTATTATTACATTTATTACTCCACTCTTGACCCAGTTATTCTTTAACAAATATTTAGAAAGACATGAGAGGACACGACTTGTTTTCCCCAGGTCTTTCATGTTTGGTTTTATGCTTTTTTCCCTGAGGAAATGACATCATTTGGTGCAGGTCATGTGATAAGATTATTTTTTTTAGATAAACAGGTACCTTAGTTGATTTTTGGGCACACAGAATAAGTTATTTCACAATAAAAAATTAGCTTTTTTGCATTAAATGAAGATTTGTCCTCTATTATAGAATAGAAAGATAGGACCTTGAAACTGGATGTTTTTTTTTTGTACAAAATTTATGATTCAAGATGCAATCATAATATTTGGGAAATTTGTGTATTGTATGGTCATGTATTGGGGAAAAGGGTGAAGATGCCCCTCCTTTAAGAACAATGTACATTTACTGTAAAGCTAAACTATATCTGGGCATGAGTTTAGCATGTACAGAGCGATGATGAAAATCTTGGACAGAACCGTAAGAAGCCCCCCTGATGAATCTTGTATGAATGTATTAATTATGTTTTACAGATGTATATGGAATAATGTATGTGTGCTTATGTGTTAAATTATTATATTTTGGAATGAAATTAAAGTCTCTATTAGTTTATGTCTTAATGATTCTACTTCACTTTAACAAGTGATAAAAGACAAATGACAGTAAAATAGAAACTTTAAAATAGAAATATCAACAAAAATTAAACATTGTGATTGCATTGATTACATAATGATATTATGTAAATTTATCAGCATTACTCATCTCCTTATTATTATTATTATTATTATTATTATTTGTTGTTTCTGTTGTTGTTGCTGTCACTGCACCGCAATATCAATTCATTTGAGTGTTTGTGATAAAAGATAAGTAATTCCTGGGGCTGTATAATTGCTGTATAATTCCAATATGCAGTATGTGGGGGTGTTAATCTTGCCACTAAAATAATAAATATTTAAAATGCACAGAATTTGAAATACACAGTATAAGTTGTGGTGAAAGTACATTTCATGTTTGTATACCTTTTTGGATTTTTTTTTAGTATGACAGTGAAAAATAAGAGATGAGCAATTCTCTCCAGTGTTCTGTTTATTATCTTTGTGTTTTCCATTTTCTAGGACAAAATTATGAGAATGTGAATGAAGACACTGGAATTGATGATGATGATGATGATTCAGGTAGGATTCACACTAATAATGTACTACCCCACTGCCACATCTTCTCAAACACTGTAAAATGTAACACAATCTAATCTGTTCACAGACAGTCAACAGTATATCAATGTAGCCCCGGAGAACACAGGAAGTCGCTTAGGAAGCTTTCAAACGCCAAGTAAGTTTGCGGCTTTGTGATGTTTTCATTGTATTTAATCCTATAAATATATTATTTGGATTCAGTTAATGTGACTGTTGGTTTGGAGGTCTTTTTTGAACAGTTTGCAGTGGTAGATGTGTGTGCATGCGTGTGTGTGTGTGGGGGGGGGGAGGTGGTTCAAGAGTTTTTTCTTTATTTTTACTCTTTTCCACATTCACTAGTTGGATCCCTTGGGAGTTGCAGCAGTGATGGCCAGGGCAGCTCAGACTATGTAAACGCTCCTAACCAAGAGGTAGGACAACATTGCTTTCAGCAGATTCTTCAGTATTCAGTGCCCTTATCAGGCTGGACTTTTTTGTTCTGTCCTTTCACATCACAGTGCAAGAGGAAAGGCATTTAACACATTCACAGATTGAATAAAAATCACATGAGTATTCATGTTAATATTACACCAATACAGTGATATAATCATTTGAAGGATGATCAAATGATGAGGTGTCATTACCATCACTATCACAGCCAATACTGTGAAAAAGCTGGCTTAGTGTTGGACTGGATAGATGTGTGGACTGGAGACATACGTATATATACCTGATTTTTCCCAATAACCATGTCACTCTGCTGACCCCCTAAGAAAGACTCTAAGAAAGAACAGCAGTTGATTTACTTTTTTGGCAGAAGGAACTGCCAATATTAAAAACATTTAAACAATGCTCAGCTTCTTTGCTTTGCTGTTGCAAAAGCTGGATTTTCTGTGACTGAATCACAGCTGTGATGTTATTCAGGATAACTCACTCTATAATATTTATTTAAAGTTAAATGCTATTTAAAGGGGAACTCCACCAATCTTCCAAAATTTCTGCTTTATTCAGTGGTTGAGATGTAAACAAAGTCATTCAGAGTGGTTTGATGTGAAACGCTTCGTTATAGAGAAACTCACCAGCTCTCTACAGTAATGGTGAGAGGAATCAGGGGTCGCAAATGTAGCAGTTCACCATCCAAAACCACCAGTGAACCTAAACGTGTCTTCTGAGCTTCATATGTAATGCTGATATTGATAAAATAGGTAAATTTAAAAAGTAAATTTTCTTTGGGGACTATTTTGTGTTACGACACCCTGCAAGTACCTCTCTAACATGAATGGGTTCTAAACATACATTTTAGGCCAAAACATTATTTCAAAACTATCAGTCTGTCTCAGGCAGCATATTCATAACCAATTTATATAATAACTTCTTGTGAGGGAGCTTTTAGTGGATGTATGGTTCCTATCAACTCCACTGTGAGCAGTTCTGACTCAGTAAGTGTCTCTAAAATGGAGCATTTCACATCAAACCACAATGACATCTTATACATTGAACATGCAGACATTTTTAAATATTGGTGGAATTCCCCTTTAAGTTAAGTGCTTGAGAGACAAATTTAAAGCTGCACATTTACATTTCAGTTTTAAATGTTTGGTGTGATGATAGTGACTGTGGACGGCAGAATTCTGTTATAGAAAATGTACAGATGGTTTGAATGTGGCTTAAAACCATATGGATTTATCATTGAGAAAATATTGAAATTCTGACACATAAACAAAAAATAAACACATAAAGTAGTAATATGTCATTAAGGAGCACAGTAAAGATGTTTAAAGCTACTATTTGCTAACCTTTGTTGGGAGTGGGCTTTACACATCCAAGAAATATCAAAATTATATTATGATTAATACCACCTTCACTAGAGTAATACAAATGTGTTTTCTATTAACGTCAGCTGTTATTCTTTTCAAAAACTAGTTATATCCCAAAACTGTCACAGATATACAGCAGTATGGAATTAAACTCTTCAGATAATTTTCTCTTTTTTTTTCTCTCTCTCTCTCTTTCTTCTTCCAGTTCTGGGCTGATCCACATGTCTTGATTTAAAACAGCCAACAAAGGTCAAGATGAAATTTGAATCGCCACCCAGAGATCGATCACACAGACAGGAGTTTTATAATATATTTGATAAGCAACGTTGTAGAGTTGCCATTTTGTGTTTACCACACATTTTAAACATCATGCATTCTGGACTGAATAAACATCACATCCGAGAAGGAAATCCAGACTCTTTATTACATTTTACCGTCATTTCCTGTTTACAGGATTTGCTGACAATAACCTGAGAATATTCCTTTTTAAATGACATTTTCCTTTATTTTTAACATCATGTACAATTTCTGGCTTTTCTTTTTCTATAATTTCAGCTGTTGTTCGTTGGCCGTTGTATGTAAAATAGTGCTTTCCTGCTCTGCAGCTGTTTATTTGTTTGTATGATACTGAAATAAACGACACATCCCCAACCAACACTGTTCTTGTGTCTCTCAAATCAGATGATTTTATGCAGAGCCCTCTTAGACACCGGGACAGTGAAGCCAGCATCATTATATATACTGCATAATCAAGCTATTTGAGCTAATAAGACTGTGGTGGATTGTTGACTTGCCCAGGGTGTTTCCTGCCTTACTGCCCAATTAGTGCTGGGACAGACTTAAGCACCTCCTGCAACCTAAGGGGATAAGCATCTTTATATATATATATATATATATATATATATATATATATATATATATATATATATATATGTATGATGAGTGGGTGAGAGAGTAACAGAGCGAGAGAATTGAAAATAAGAATACGATGAAATTCTGTTACCTTTGTTTTTATATTGTGACGTGTTGTGTATCATGAAATTATGGTAATTGGAAGTTTAAATTGTTTAATGCCTCCAACTGTTTTGAATAAGCTGACTGCGTTTATAGAGGACATCATACACACCATCAAGGTCCATACAGAGGTTAAAGGCCACAGAAAAACAGCTAACAAAGGTTTTCCCATCACTGAACATGTTAAAAGGGAATTCCATCATATTTTTAAAACATCAGCATAAATCAATCTGCGAAGGTGGTGGCGGTGTGCGTTTTCTGTTGGCAGTAGAATTCTGGACTTCTTTTCCTTATTAATGATTATTATTATATAAGAAGGTTTTAATGAAGTATTTAACTAGCTAAGTCATTCTGAATAGTTTGATGTGACGGAGTGTGTTATGGAAAAACATACTCAGAATTGTTCAAATGTATACATAATGTTGAACATTGTTTAATTTAGCAGTACATCTGAGGTTTCTTTTGGGATCATTTTGCCTTACAACACCCTGCATGTTCCTCCTTGCCCCAAATTTATTCATTACCATTTCATGTGAGGGAGTTTTTATAGGCATTAAACCCTTGAGACTCAAATTTGATGCTGGCCCCAGACTCACAAAAGCATTCCTAAGAAGAAACATTGCAATTATCTTAAGAATGTTCTTATATGCAATTCTCAAAAAATAACTATTCTCTTCAGAAAGTCTTCAACATGTTCTTAAGAAAAATTGTTTTCTATTGTAGGCAGTAGATTATTTGCTATGCAGCCTATCAATATGCTATGTTTTACAGCTCACCTTAAATAACATGAGATACATGATGAATTTGAATCAACAAGCATTAGCCAGTTATTCAGTTCATTGAAAACTTCTAGCAAACAAAAACTAGATGTGACTACAAGGTAATGGTGGAGGGATTAACCAGGAACAGGGAAAATCCTCACAGTCAAGTGTGAGGCTGTCCTACGTTTAACAAAAATACCACTCATTCTTAGAATTCAGAATTGTGTACTTTCTTCTTAAGAATTCTCTTAATGTCTTTCATAACTTTTAAGTGAAAATTCACTTTTTCCTTACTTAAAAAAACAAACAAAAAAAAAAACAAAAAACAAACAAAAAAAAAGACACTTTCATGAAACTGGTCCCCGGTTTCTTTCACCACCACTGAACGCAATTCTGACTAAGTTTCTCAAGAATAGAGCATTTCACATTAAACCAGTCAGAAAATTTTAAAAAGCTGGTGGGAATCCCCTTTAAATGTTACTGTGGTCATCATGTTCAGAGCTCAGCATTTTCTCATTTAAAAATTCTGCAGAAGTGAACCAAAACTAGACAAGAAACTCTCACTGACATGTCCCCCATGTCAGTGAATAACAAGTTCTGCGCAGCACTGCACTGGAACAGTTTAGGTAGTGTCAGGTGTTTTTTGACAAACTTACAGCGAACACAAAAAAATTCCTGCGTAAGTTACCCAGCTAGGTCACAAAAAGGTTTATGTTCAACGAACAAGACAACCTAAATTAAAGCAAACAAGACAGACAGACGCCACCTCGGAGAGTTTGAAATTTTATTTATTTTTTGTACATTTTAATTTTTTTCTTTTTTTTTTTATTATTTATTTAATTAAGGGGTTGAGGCGGAAGGGAAAAAATCTATCTTTATAAAATGTCTCTCACTCATCTCGAGCTGTTTCATTCCTTCACACTCACTCACTCACTCTCATTCTCGCACTCATTCACTCATTCCCTCTGTTTTAGACACAGTCTGTGCCCCGTCCTTTCATCTTAAACAAAACAAAAAAATCTCAGTCCTTCCAACAGATAAGAATAAAACAAACAAACAAACAAACAAAATCTCTGTTTCTGGAGAGGATGCATGTGTGACTGTTAGTGTGTGTCTGTGTTTACACGCCTGGTCCAGGATCTGTAAGAGGAACTCTCACTCTGCACATCAGGCCAGTCTGAGACTCTCTCACTCTCGTCTCACTCAGTTTCCAGGAGGGTGGAAGGGCAGTTGCTGGGAAGGGTGGGGCTGCACCTGCACAGCTGAGGAGTTAAAACAATTTTTAATTATATTTTAATTATATTTTTATATCTAATAGAATGCCAGAATCAAAGCAAAGTCAGACATTTGTGTTTCTGTTCTTTCTTGCCTGTACAAGAACTTTGATGTACAGTGGAGGAAAGTCTTAAAGTTACTGTCTCTTAAAACTACTGTCTTATGTATATTGTAAAATATTCAAGGAAAGATATCAGTAATATAATACAATGGTAATGCCTCACCTTGGGGGTGCCCAATGTAGGTGTAGTGCTGGTGGGCTCCCTGCTGTGGCGGTGGGGGTCCATGAGAGGGGTGCTGGGGCCCAGGCCCAGAACCAGGGCCCTGCTGAGGGGGAGGAGGAGCATGAGCATGAAGCAGCATCATCGGTGGAGGGCCGTGTCCTCCAGAGTGGTGTGGACCCGACAGAGCTCCTGGAACATGAGCCTTAAAAAAAACAAGAAAATTTTAATAAAGAAAGAGATGAACAGAGATTGAAAAAGAGAAAGAAACTGAAGATCAGTCAAGGGCTTGAAATAATTATGCACAGCTGGGTCACTTTCAGCCACTAAGAGTCTCTCAATTAAAGTACAATGAGAGACTGCTGAGTGGATTTTGAATTACTGCTACATTAACTGATTGAAGCCGAGTGGGCAGTTAAGTGTGAAACGAGCTATTAGAACCCAAAGTACTCATTACGAGCCCACTGTCTAACTCTGTGGGAGTCAGACTGAATATACTCACTCACTTCCTCCTCTGCCTTCTCTTCTTCTACAGCACAATTATTTGATCACATAAGAGAGGCTTAGAATATCTTCACATATTTTACCTAGCACTTCAACCTCCCATTTACTAATGGAGCGGCACCCTAATCTATTCCAACTTGCACATCTGCACCTTTTACAACATAATTACTTCTTATTTCTGATCTATATTATTTTAAAAACCCTATAGATTTAGATCACATATTATGAATATATGTTACAAAAATACAGCATTCCTTTTATTTGCAGCACATAACACCTACGTGGAACATATTAGTGTTTGCATATGCTGGGTCACCATGGCACAGAGTGCATGCGACAGCGCAGTGTACCTGTGCTAGCTGGCCGATGGAGGAATAAGGGTGCGGCAGTGGCTGATGGCCTGGCAGGCTGTAGCCCTGGAGAGGATAGGAGGCCTGTGGCGAACTGTGGCCTGGAGGCATGTTAGGGGGTGTGGGTGCTGACAGTGGACCTGAATGGTACAGAGTCTGAGGCTGTGGACCCGACTGACCAGACTAGGGGAAAGAGAAAGGAAGGTTAATATAACCATTGCAGTCCTCAACCAAAGAATAATTCATTTTAATTTAATCTTATGATAAGATCACACAGTTCCACAAAAAGTTGGGAACTGAGTGGTGAGTTAGTTTGACTGGCAGGTGGCCATACCTGTCCTGGGCTGGGAGCGGGGTGCTGTGGAGGTGCCTGGCTGCCAGTGGGGGTGCTGGAGGGCTGCGGAGGATGCATGGAGCCTGAGGGATGAGAGAATGATTGGGGGGCTGGAAATGAAAGAACGTATTACATCAGCTATTTTGCAAATACACACATTTTTGTATCCTGTTAAAGCCTATTTAATATACAGGAGACACAGACAGCAGATTTACGTGAATGGTACAATTACTCATTCCACTGCAAGTAAAACTTTTACACAGAGAGCGTGGAAAGATGACTAACCCTAGTGTTTGTGTGAATACATACCATACATGCCCTGCTGGGCTCCTGGAGGCCCCTCTGTCTGACCAGGATATTGAGGGCCAGGAGGGCCCAGAGTCTGGGGGTGACCTCCAGAACTCAACATCCTTGCACCACCCTGCAGCATGGAGTATACCGGCTAGCAGAGAGAGAAACAGAAGTGAAATGACAGGGATTGGACATTTTCTCTACAATAACACTATGGTTTCTGTGTAAGAAGACCACCAGAACACATCCAGAGTAACAGCAACAGCAGCAGTTCCAATTAAGCTGTATGACATAAACTGTAGCACATAAACTGTAGGATATCACAATTACCTGCCCAGGATAGTGGGGCATGGCGGGGATGACCTGGCCATACTGCAGGTAGGGCTGAGGGTAAGGGGAGGCAACCAGAGGAGGACCCGTTGCAGACGCTGCTGTCTGGATCATAGGTGGTGCTGACGAGCTGTGATCCGGACGAGGGGTCCCAACAGAGCCTGAGTGAGAGAAGGATCCAATAAATGCAGTATGTGTCTACATGTATAAAGATTTGAATCTTTAATATAATAAATCCAGAACCATGTGCTTACATCTCTGCTTAGTATAGATTGCAAAAGGAGTCTCAGGAACACATATCTTTTCTATTCACCACTGGCAAGATTTCTGCAATTGTCACCTTATTATTATAAACATTCTACGTGTAAGCTAAATATACACAAACTGCAAAACCTCTGCTCTGTAATTCCTTCTGTAACTGGATCAAGACAGACCTTCACTGAGCATAACTGTACTGTTCCAAGTATTGAGTGAAATGCATCAAAACACACAGTGGCTTGTAACATCTATACTGCCAGACATTCTAATGCAGCCAATATTTAAAATAAAAGAAGAAAAACCTG